AACTCAGAATTTATGAGTAGGAAAAGGAGGGTCATAAAATATTAGTTTTTTTGTTGGTTTCTCTAACAAAATGCTGCACAAAGTGTCAGAATCATTTACATAATTTACATGTCCATGATCGATGTCATTACTAAGTGGCCATCAAAGCTTGGTGTGGTAAATGCATAAAGATGCTTCCATATCTTCTAACATTTTTTTGGGATAAAAATTGTATTGTACCTAAATTGGTGTTTCTCATTATATGTCTAATCATACCAATGGTGGGTTATACCTGAATTGAGGTATAATCCACCAGTTAATGGTTATTCCTGTATAATATCTGGAAATTCAGGTCTGTCAAATTTTTCATTAGACGTGTCAGAGTTCGGTTTGCAGATTTATAAAATCATCATTTGATCATGTCCATCCCTGCTCTGTGGTAAATTTTGATTAAATACAAAAAACGTATGAAAACAATTTTTTTTTTTAGAAATTCACATCATGGTCAGCATGGTCAGAGTTCAAAATTAGGATCAGTCAAGAAATCCTAATCACACATGTTCCCAGATACATGTAGCTGCTTTACAAACATAGAGGTTAATAAAGTCAAAAGCATTTTTGTAGACATCTGCTTAGACATGTTAGATTTTAAAACAGGAGAGAATATGATTTTATTGAATATCCACTTTAAAAATCCCACCACACTTTTCTTGTTGTCTTTCTCACCCTGGATTAAATCTTTAGTAATTAGGTGACATTTCCCATAAGTTTGTATTTCATGTAGATTTTTGTTCTGTAATTTACTGATTAATGGACTCACTTTTTACAATCAACATTACACTACACAAACAGCAGCAATCACAGGTGTGACACAGTCAAACTGGTTTCTGTGGAACTCTTTAATTTTTTTTTAAAGTTTTAAATTAAATTCATTTTTCACAGCTGAAAAAAAAACCCTTCATAATAATTTTTTAACAATAAATATGTATAAAAGATATATAGCATTCATTAATACTCTCTGACACTTAATTAATTTTAACAAAAACATTTATTACAGGCCAATAAACTCATAAAAGAGTGTTAGTTAAGATGATTAATATTCAATAATAAGAGGATTGACAGCTGTCAGAGTGAAACACCATCTATCTTCACACTGTAAGAAAATAAAATAACTAAATAACACATTGAGGTGATCTTATGTCATCATAAAATAAAGTATTGAGGACTGTCAGTATACATTAGATAATAGGACCATGTATTTTTGTTGTTTATCATGTTTACCTGGTATTTATTGTATGTTTTCTCTTAGGGGGTTTTATGTCCTGTTGTTTCTTATTGACTTAAGTGTGTTGGTTGTGTATGAATTTGAAGGAATACATTTCTATCAAGGTTGAGTTTAGATAAATATTCATTATATTATTTGTTTTAACAAATGGTTTTAATTAGATTTAAAAATTAAAATTATGTGTATTAAATTTAATTATAATAGAGGATTATTTTTTTCATCTATTATGATTATACATATCTGTGATGACATGGATAATGTAAGTGGAAATATACTTATATGTCAATTTGAGTACTACAGTATAAAGTTAAAATTTAATGATGCTAAATTCATATATATACAATATCTCAGGGACTTTCTATACTATAGAAAGTCCCTGAATATCTGTAGTGTAGGAAAATATAAAATTTATTTGACAAGCTTTAGAAACAGAGTGGTAAGCTCAGCTGAAGTTTTGTAGTGAGGACAAATACATTTTATATTTTTCTACACTGTTTGGCTATTGTTTTAATCTTTTAATTTAACATAGAATTTAAACGTATATTTATTTTTTCATCCAATCCATTGAATTTGTTTTTGAAAGAAATCGTCATGAATAAAAATGCAATCCACAATGTCAGAGGACCCTAAATTGAACTGTTATGCAAACAGCTTTTTGAACTTAACCATTCACTTGCAACAGACAATGACAGAAGCAAGATACCAGGAGACTATAAGCATACACTATATACATAAATACTATTCATTTATCTGACAACCTGTATTTGTATAGTACAAAGGTTGATTGCAGGATAAATTCATGTAATTATTCATTTGAAATAGTACTACAAGATGTGAAGTCTTGAGCCAAAAAAGGCTGAATATATTTCTACTACAACAACAACTACATCAACTATTGATCACACATTACAGATCTATGTTTTACAGTAATACATGACTATTCATGGCTGTATTACATGTATTATACAGTTCAATCAGAAAGGAATAAGCAACATATATATTCATTTTTTTACATTTTTTGCAGTAATCATTTACAATTCTATCTCATTGTACCTATTCACGAAAAAAACAAATGTGTTTGATAAAAAAAATATATATTCAATAACAATGTAATCCTTCATGACCTAAAATCAAATGCAAATGTAATATATATATCTCAGGATGAAGATTTGGGATTTTTAAAAAGGGGGCCCTCCAACAAGTCAGCATTAGAAGTGGGACTTGTAAAATGTTTATACATTAACCATATATAAGGAGCTCCATTAATCACTCACTCTGTATATAGAATTTCACAATTGAGTTAAGCTACTGTGAAAGAACTTTTATTCGTGGGTATGAATTTTCGTGGTTTGTGCAAAAGATACATGTTCATGGGTTCTTAAATTTGTGGATTTTAGTTTTCTGAAAATAATTATATATATAATGAGTGAAAAATTTAAAGCCATCAGAAACAACGTTTCTTTAAAATAATCATATGTTGTTTTATGATGATTTGTGGGACATTGTCTTTCATTACTAACAAAATTCATCAATTTTTTAATTAAATAATGTCTTTCTGAAATAATTTAATTCCTCTATTCTACACATTGTGTTGATTGAATTAAATTGCAAAGTAAATGTTCTAATTGTTGCACTCATGTAATAAGAAGTGATAACGAAAATTAACCAGAGATTGAAAGATCAACAGATAACTAAGATCATCAAAGGTGTTAATCAGGCCATAAACATGGCACTTATAGAAGACTGTTACATAAAAAAATACTACAAATGTACTTTTAATTGTAGAATTATTTCTTATGAAATAAAAAAGCAAGCCCAACATGAAATTATTATTTCTTTTTTGTATGAGAATTGCAAGGAGATAAAATGAATACTTCATCAGCGCATACCATCACTGAAAGTAGGACCTTCATTGATCAAAACTAATTTTTCATGAGAATTAAAAGGTTAAAAGTCGTACAGTTTATTTTGTTTTATAGATTAGATGGGTAAAATCCTGTCTGAACAACATGCTGAAGTTGTATATATAGTTCATAGAGAGTTTGCTGATATTCTATGTATTCTCTAGATTATATGCCCGTATCTTTATAATGTAGTCAAACATACATGGGGATCGTTCCATGTCTTTTTTTGGACAACAGTTGTTAGATTTGGTTTGACACTTAAATTCGTGGATAAAGTCATTGGTACCCCACGTACGAATATAAGTACTTTCACAGTATTACACATTCTTACCCTTTTGAGAAAAATGATTCAATAAAAAAAATCAAATGAAGCTGAGACTTAAAACCTGTTAATTAGATATAAAAGGGAATTTATGAAATACTGAATTAAAATTCTGAAAACAATTATAATTCATATTGATATATTGATAAAAGAATAAGATTGCTTTGATTACAAAAAAATATGTATAAGTTTTATGACAAGATTCTGAAAATGTAAAGTTAAACATGTTAAAAGGTTATCAGTTATATCATGAATATGTTGTATTGTATATTGAAAATAAAATAAACATCAATTTAAGATGGAATGTAAATGTCATGAATGTTACCTACATGATGTACATGTTTTTAACTTGTTTCCAAATTTCCTACCACAGATGAATATATCTGTAAAAAATGAGTGCTGTTGGTGGGTGTATAGTTCACAATATTTTTGGTTATTCCTGCTACTGTAAATTCAGAAATTATTGCGATGTTTTTATGATTGCGAAAAATGCGACAGGGTTATAATCGCAATAATTTAAACTAGCATTTTGAATTTTTTTATATGAAATAAACAGGTTTTTTCTCAATATCGCAAAAATTTAAATCTAAAATGACAAAATCGCAATAATAAATGCACGCAATAATTTCTGAATTTACAGTATATGTCTTATTTATGTATTATTTATGATACCTTTTAAGTGGTATGGTTGGTTACTCTAGCCACCATCAGACATAGACATATACCTATATTTCTAAAGAAGTAAATTTGTAAAAACAGTTTAATAAAAAAAATATCATATAAAACTGAAACGTAAGTTGTCTCTTTGGTCATGTTAGTTGAAATATGACATATATATCCACCTCAAAGGTCCCTACAATTATAAATGTATGACTGGTTACAAGAGGTCAGTTACATTGTATTTATCATGTTTATGTCAGTGACCTGGAATTAATGTCTGGTTAACTTTGTAGAAGGTTGTTAGTGTACCTCTTTATAAATTACAACCAGAATGTTATAGCATGCTTAATAAGCTATCAAAAAGCAATGAAAAAGATCCAATTAAATGTGGATAACCTGTTGAGTAGTAGGCACAGCTATAAAACGTTATTTACAATACTGCTTATAACATGTTTTAACAAAATAAATTGTAATATTCATGATATTTATCATGTTTATGAGGACATGTTTTAATTTACTGGCATAAAGACAAAGCCTACATTGTATGGTATGGACCAGTCCATGTCTTTAATTTGGGCATTGCAATATTCAGAATGTATTGCATTTAGCAATTGTATCATTTTTTTTAAACATTTCATGTGAAAACAAAATTAAAAAAGAAACATAAATAAATTTTATTTGATATAATTAGGTAAGTGAAAACAAAAACAGCAAAGAAATATGTGTATTTATAATGGTTGCCATTTAATAATTGTCTGGAAATTAGCCTTAGGTATGGTAACACAGATGTACATTGTACCATTATGAACATTGGACCAAGTTTTTGTAAACAATATTTGTTTTGTTTTAGATTGAATCAAAATGGAGAAATTAACAGACATAGAGTTAACATCAGTCCAGTCCCAAGAACCTCAGCATAGAATGGTTAACAATAACGCCAATTCTATCCTGATACAGGTAAGTCCCAAGAACCTCAGCATAGAATGGTTAACAATAATGCCAATTCTATCTCGAACAGGTAAAAAAATATAATAACAAGTTGATACTGGGTTAAAATAAATTCTGTTCTTGTCAATTTGGAACGAGTATATTTAAAAATATATATAAAAATGTATGTATAGAAAAAATGTTACTTAAATTTCAAGGGCAACATCAAAATCTGTTGTAGTTATTTAGGATTGTATAGTCCTTTTTTTCTCTTCATTTATATATTACTAGAAATTTTCACCAAAAAAGGCAAATTGAAAACCAAAAAATAAGATTCCTCATCACACACCCCACCACCACGGCCCTTCATGTATTATTGAAAAATTGAATTGCGATTCAAGGATTTTAAAATATAACCATTTATTACAGGAAGATGATGTAGAGACACCCTATGGAAACTTCCACGTTGCTATACAAGGTGACAGGTCAAAGATGGCTATTCTTACCTTCCATGATATTGGATTAAATCGTAAGTAATTAATCTAAAGACCACAGAAACATGACATATACATGAAGATTTGGATTTATATTTTTCTCTGACTGAGGTGAAAGATACAAAAGGGACATTCAAACACATAAGTCGAAAATAAACTGACAATGCCATGGTTAAAAAAAGAAAAAGACCAACAGACAAACAACAGTACACAAAACACCGCATAGTAAACTAAAGACTGAGCAATAGAACCCCACTAAATATACTAACGATCATACTATAACTCCTTATTTTTATATGAGTTTCAATTAAAATTAGTAAAAATTACTGTCCACTGATTACGATAATCTGACTAACTGGCATGAAAACCTGAAAATAAAGTGATTAAACTTATTAAATTCATTTAAAATGTAATCATGATTAATGATGATAATATTACCACATTATGTAATATTTTGATCATGTTATTCATCTATATCAAATTACACTGAATAATATTATTAGACTTCAAACACATTATCATGTAATATTATGTAAAATAATCAAAACTACACTTGTTAAACCATTATATGGTAAACCAAAATTATGTATTGATTTTATCTGACATTTGAGGGATCACCTGTTGACAGTAAAAGTTTTTTTCTATTTAAAAAGCTATAAATGACTCCAGGGGATAAGAAATACAATGACAATAAAAAAAATGTGTTTAAATAGGTCCAAACAAAGGAAACTTTATGGGCACTTATATCTTTTTTATTTGGGAAAAGTTGAAGGGTGTTCACTGGTCACATTAACAATTTCCTTATTATTTCGATTTTGTCAACTCCCAACTATTGCAACTCTTCAAATACAGAGTATTGTTTCTTAATTGACTGTGTTCTAAATACTAATTATGTTTATGTACTATTGAATTAAAAAAGGTACAATAAGGTTGCAATTGATGTATATACATGACAAACAATAAATAGTATGACTAGAAATGACTAATGCTGGTCTTGACTAATGCTGGTCTTCTTATTGAAAGTTTGTGAAATTCTGTTTCATAATTAGTCTTTTACAAAAAGGAATATCAGTAAACTACAAGTATCATCTTAAATAATATGCTTTTCTATATATTGTTGGTTGATATACAGGATGTAGCACATGAACACTATTTAATTTTATTGGTATATCATGTGTTTATTTTGTAGATGTGACATGTTTCCAGGGATTTTTCAATTTTCCTGATATTCAGCAGATACTGAGACATTTCTGTGTTTATCATGTAAACGCTCCTGGTCAGGAGGAAGGTTCTTTACATTTAAAACCTGAGTAAGTTATTACTGCCTTCCCATGCATAGGCATGCTGGTTATCTGCATGTGCATTATATAATATATGATGTTGTTGTCAGGAGCTCAAATAACTAAAACAAATAATTCCAGTGTCATTAATGATTTAGGAGTAAAAGTTAAAAAGTTGAAAGGGGAAGAAAAGTAGCAATTTGGTACAAGGGAGATGTTAATATTAAAAAAAATACTTGCATGTTATTCAGATGTATTTGGGATGTTAATTCTGATCAGTTGTTTACATACCATTCAGTGAGATATTTTTTTTATCATTATTATATAACATTTTCATGTTGTTTGACGAGCCTGCAACATTTATGTAGACATAGCGATCCAAGATTCTGTCGCAAGCATCAACATTTAGGTGCCATCTGTGGTTAAAGATTTTTAGACATCGATAACTTTGTCAAACCTTCATGGAATTTAAAGAAATTTGGACAAAAGCATTTTGTTAAAAAATAAAAATTGTGGCGATCAAAATTCATTATAGGTGAAAGACTTTGGCGAAAGAAATATAACAGTTCAATGTCCATCTTGTTTATTTTTTTGGGTGTTTCTCAGACTTTTACTCCGATCAGACAACACTCGTATTTCACCTTGAACTCGTCAAGCGTTATGATTTTGACAGAAAATCAATAATCAGTTAATTGCATTTTAATATAGATATTGGCTACAATGGACTAATTAATAAAAGTGTTGATTGTATTGTTTGATGAAATTGCGTGGCTAAATGGCTTCACATGTCACTTAAATGATTTTTTACAACTTTGATAGAAATAATTGCTTTGAAGTGGAGTGCGTGTTCGAGCATAATTGGATGTCTCAACTTTTTTTTAACAATGGAGCTGAAAAGATAAATGTTCAAAAGTAAAAATCTCTGGCTTAAGCCTTTATCATTCAACTAGACAGGAAGTATCCTATAAACTTATTGAAGATGAACCCCGTGTTCCCAGAAGTCAAATATGATGATTTCATGATTTATATTGCAACAGTTTTGTAGTATCTTTGTAAAAGTAAATGGATATGTAGCATTATAATAGACAGACAACAATGCTGCGAACTGATGTTTTTGTTAGCAAGTAGGAAAATTTAAAACGAAACATATGTTTATGTAAATTGGTGAGAAAAAAAATTGAAAGTGGCGAAAAAAATATTGATTTGGCGAAAGAGGTGACGAAAAAGAAAAGTGACCCAGGGTGCCAGGAGAAACCCTGGTCTGGGGCTTAAGTTTGTTCTCATTTTTTAAGTCAACATTACACTTTTACACTGACAGCAGCAATAGCAGGCCAGACACACAGTTTGTGGAACCCTTACGAATTTTTGAAATATTGCTCTTATTTTTCATGGAAAATAAATTTGAGGTTTTTGGTAGTTAAGTCTTTTTTTTCCTTCTAATTACTGGATTATTAAAAAAAGGAGATTTTAGAATTAAAATATTTCTGGATATTCTTCATATATTTCAATATCATGTGTATTAATATGTGCAATAATATATATACATGTTCTATGTTTTCATGTGGGTTCATAATTCATATACACAATATATATAATTATAAGTAAAAGTTGAATTAATAATAACATGTTACTACGTAGTGTAAGCTTGTAGTTTTTTCATTTGCATTTTGATCAGTGAATTGTCATGATTGTACATAATTAATAATGATCACGCTTTTTTTTCAGAATGATTTTTCATGCGCAGTGTCTTTTATTTATATAAAATGTACTTAGCGTTCAAATCAAACTGTTTGCAAATTGTTTACATATATTGGGTGATTCTAAAAAATCAGTAGTTTGATGAATGATAACAATTTTTAATGAAATCTTAAGAATTTTCATGTTTTCTTAGAGTTACCTCCCATGCATTGAGTTATAGTTAAAATTTATTAATATTTTTGTTCACATTGGTATTTTATCTGCCACTTTTTGATTCCATGTTCTTTTCTCCTTGATATAAATTTAGTGATATTTATTTAGCAGGAAATGTTAGAAAAATATCCTTTATACACTAAGTTGATGTAGTTTTTCTTTTAGTAAATGAACACTAAAACTATTTGTTAAAGGTTGAACAGATTTGATTTGAACAACAGAATTCGGTGTTGATTTGAAAAAGCTAAGCTTGTATTCTATATTTTTGTTACGGTTAGGCATGATGTCTTAGGCAATCCTGAGTCTCTCGGTAACAGGTATGTTGGCCAGCAGCTTACCGTAGCTATTTGTGTGTGCTTATTAACTATTTTTTATAAAGGCTTTTTTATATTGAGTTGATATATTGATAGTAAGAAAAACTTTAAAACCAATGTTGTTTCAATTAGTCTTTTTCTAAATAATCTCAATTTGATCAAATATTCAAAAAAAAAATAATCATACTATTCTCATTTTCCTGAATAGTTGGACTTGTTATATTACCATCTAGGTTTTTCAGCATCAAAAGAAATAGAAAAAAAGCAATATGCGTATCAGAATTAAAAAAAAGATATGTTAACTCATATAAAAGTGCCAGTAGCAATTAGTCTTTTATCTTTTATTCTTACCATTCACCAGCTTTTTTTTTCTTTTATATGTTTTGCAACTATTCCATTGCACTTTTTCTTTTTATTAAGGGAGATAATTTTAGTATTTGTTTTCTTTAGAGATTATATTTTTATAGCATTCTTTTATGCAACAGAGTTTTGGTTCGTACTTTATGAACTAATCTGTATTTTTCTTTCAGGAAATTTACTGTTGTTTTTTTTTCTTCATAAGAATCTGTATTAACTTTTCTCTTTTTTCTCTAAAACTTGGCCACAGATTGACAACTGTGGTAAACAAGTTTGATTCCTCTAGACATGACTCCCTCTTTGAGTAAGTTTGATGTTGTTTTTTGTAAGTCTTTTGGTTTAAATTAGTAATGTTATACACAGATTGATTTAGTTTATTTTTACAACACTTTTCTATTTGAAATGATTTAATTATCATAATTTTAATTATTATAAACTTGTTGCATAATTGAATTTAATGATCGATTCCTAAAACTTCCATTTCAGGAATTTTTTTTCGATTATCTCCCTTACATGATTTCTTTTGAGTTATTTCCTTCATTTCTGTTTCTTGTGCTTTTTTATTCATTTTATATGAACTTATACAGATATATAATTTTTTTTTATTTATATCTTTCTTTCTTCTGCCAAACATCCTTTTTAAATACTTGAAATATAGTTTTCCTCCTTGCATACTCCTATAACATTTTCTTATTCTTTTTGTTTTAATTTTTATTTCTTCTGTAATCACTTTCTACATACCTCATTTACATAGATAGTAATTAGATGTTGTTTCACCAATTGTTCCAAAAAATTTAAGAATCAAAGCCCCCTTTACAAGTGATCTACATTCATGCAATAACAACCACGTAGTGAGGACATATTGGACAGTTTTGATAATAACCATGTATTAAAATTATTTGGAAAAATGTATGCATTTAATATTTAATCAGAGAAATTTATAAATGTTAATATGTTCTTATGATGTATGCATTGAACCAAATCCTTGACTCTAGACAGTCAGCTTAATCGTGTTTCTTTTTGTTAATCATAACAAGATCAAACACGATTGAGTTTCGCCAAATTTAAACTTATTGCACAGGACAGATGCATAGTGAATGTGCTTTATTCTATAATTTTATTGTGGCTTCAAAGTTGTTGTGAATTATTTTTCTAAACATTATTAAACTTGCATCATATTAGCAGAAAAAGATAAGTTAAAAAAGAGGAAGTGGGTTTTATGAATCAGTTAAAGCACTCCTTTAATGCTTTCATTTTATTCAGTGTAATTAGTGATGTTTCTTTACAGTTGTAGCTAAAATTTTATTAGTCCTTCTAAAGCATTGTAACAGAAAGTAATCATATATTAGTAATTAAGGTTTCTGAAATCAATTTTAAAGTTTAAATTCAGATTCTTTTATGATATTAAGCCAAATTTGCATTTTTTTTACCAATAGACAGATTCTGGAAACCTGCATGGGTCTAGTTCTTGTCATTGTAAAGGGGTGCTTTGCTTCTTTATTTAGTTTCTTCCAAACTTGCCATTGTGCATGGAAAAATATAGTTGAATAAGTTTTTCATCTTAGTGATTATAGATGTAGTTTTCTGCACCTACATTAGTCGATAGGAACTCTTGTATTTATTCTAAAACTTTGAAAACAGTCAGTACCTTAATTAAAAGTCCTTTGTCTTTATGTTTTAATCAACTTTTGTTCCTCAGGTTTAAGCATTTAATGTAAATGACATATTTAAAACTATTATTCTTGATTTATTTATTGATCTTTTAGTCTTTATAAAAAACAGATAATTTTATTGTTTAAAAAATGTAATGAATATGATAATATTTATAAGTTTATTTTTCTTTAAAATTACATAGTGTCATTTGAATATCTTTATTTCAGGTTCATATGTAAGTCGAAAATAGAAACTAAGATATTTGTTATTTCTTGTAAATTGTCATCAATTTCTCAGAAACTAATATTCATATTCTAATATAATTATGTGTGCTGAAGTATCTTTGATCTAGACTTACCACATGCTTTAATGTGTAGGTCACATGACGAAAAGGCAATATTTCATGGTTCAAGTACTTTAACATTGTAATTTTAAAATTCATTATTTACTTTCGAGTTCAATTCTCAATTAGTAAGGATACAGCAAGAGGAGTATTCCAGTCTTCCATTAAAGATATGACCTACATTTTATACTTCTTTGACACTGATTAAGTTTTACAAATGAGTTCAAATCTCAGATACTAACTGACCGATGATTGTATAACTTGGGTTAAGGATGCTTCTTTGGGGTACAAGTGACCTACAATTCTATAAGGATGCATTTAAAAAGGTTCATGCAACAAGTTGTCATTGACCTATCTTAAGGGTTTGATGTTAACCTCCAAGTTCATTTCACAGATGCTTAGGGATCACATCCCAATCCTTTTCTCTTTGAAGCTAAAAATGTATTTTTTATAATACAACCTATTTCCAGCCAATTTGAGGCTGCATATTATGCCGGGTATGCCCTGTTGGATTCTCTTGTTGCTAGCTAACTGAAGCATTCCTTGAGATTCCTTGCTACTCACCATTGACTTTTGTAACATGTATTCTTTGAAGTGTTATTTTTCACTATTAATCATTGTGTATAAACAAGATAAAATGAATTTAATTAGGATTCTTTAATACTGGAAAAGATAAAAGATACACAAATATTAAGCAATAATTTTGATACTGTTTTTTTAATCTCTGAGTAAATCAGTAAAATCACATGAAGAGTAATGGAAATGTTTCTGAAGTGAAAAGTTGTAGTCCCTTTCTATAAAGAAGGAATACTGTTGGTATGAAATTAAGATGATGTGGTATGATTGCCAATGAGACAACTCTCCATTAGAGACCAAATGATGTAGAGGTTAATCATAGGTCAGACTAGGAGTCATTTTGATTTTTCAAGATTGATTTGTTGGTTATGGCAAACATTTTTTTTTTAATTTTCAGCCCATGATTTCTGTACAAAACTACATCAGTTAATCAATTAAACAAGTTATTTGTATGATTTTCAAAGTCATGAACTTGCTAAATGTTGATGATAAATAAGTGATTTTGTTTTTAACAGATTTGTCTATCCTACTATGGAGCACTTGGCAGAGGGTATACAGCATATTGTTGATCATTACAGGTGAGGTATAATAACAGATTAACACAACTTTAATTCTTCAGTGCAGTTTATTTTAGTGCACTTCTCTGGCACTGTACTTACTTCTGCTCAGTCACATGTTAATGTGGGAGGTTGTGGGTTTGGTCCCCAGGTCGGTTCAAACCAGAGACACGAAAATTGGTATCTGCTCCTTCTCTGCTAAGTAGGCAGTATTTAGGAGTAAGAGCAAAGACTGGTGGGCCCAAAGTCAGAATTATCTTGTGAAATAGCCAGTAAAAAAATTGGTTCAGAGTGTCCGTCTAGTTCATAGAATTGATCCTCCTGATATGTATGTGATACTTGCCACTGGACATAAAACACCAATCCATTCATTATCTATCAGCATGATACTTAATTAAACAATTATTTAACTGTAAAAAAAAAATTGTACACTAATGTACTTTTAACTGTTTTATTAAGTAAGCAGCATGCTTTTAGAGAAAAGATTTTTTTTAATACAACCATGACAGCAGACGGCTGATTTAGTTGTGAAAAAGTTACTTTTTACTTTAAATTTGTAATCATTAGAATCACTATGCTTATTGCTAATTTTAATTGTTTTTGAGGGGTTTTGAATGCAAATTATATTGGATTGACTATTTATTATATTTTGTTTCAAGCTGTATCTTTTTTTTTGTATTTATTTTTATTTGGTAGGTGTCTGCCTGATTGACAATTATTCTGTGACTCCTTATTATGATTTATTTATTTCCACCTAGAAATACTTGCTTTTGTAATATCTATATTTATTTCAGTATCAAGAGGTTTATTGGGTTTGGAGTTGGTGCAGGAGCTTATATTCTTTCAGAATATGCTGTAAGTATAAAATAATTCAAGCCATATAAATGAAAAACCTTTAAATTGTTTTCATGTACCTAAAAATACAGATTTGTTTTATTGCATTGTGTAATCATATCACAAGAAAAATAAGAAACAGGATGTTTTTTTCATGGTGATAAAAAACTAGGAATTTTTATAAAAATTTTTGAGGTTAAGAAAAATTATCAAAGTATAGCATTCTATTAATAAATGAAATAATGAAATACATTATTTTCCAACATATCTATTACCAGTTGGTTAACAGTTAGTAAAGAAGTCAATTTCACCACAAAAAAAATCCAAATTTTGAATGTTATTTTCATTTTAAATCATGTTTTTGAAAAAAATATTGTTTTTAAGCTTGAGCATCCAGAACATGTAGATTCATTGGCATTGATTAACAGTACAGTTGGCAAAGCAGGTTGGATAGAGTGGGGATACCAGAAGTTAAATTCTTGGTATCTGTGGAGTGGTCAGATGACCAATTTTACTGAGGATTACCTGCTGTGGCACTGGTTTGGATATGTGAGTGTCATCTTACATGAATACACATTTATCAAGAAAACAAAACATGTGGTATTCATAAACTAACACACTTATAATTGGAGTGACAAATTTATTTGAAAATTTTGTGTTTTCTAAGTGAAATGGCTGATTTTCAATCCATCATCATTTGATGTGAATGTGTAGAACTGTATTAATGAGGAATGATATTTTGGGAATTGTTTTTTATGCCCCCGCTGTAGCTGAGGGGGCATTAAGTTTTTCCCTTGTCCGTTTGTATGTACGTCCCTCCGTACGTCCCAAAATTGGTTTCCGTTCTGTAACTTAAGTTTGCCTCTACCAAATTTTTTGAAACTTATGCACAATGCTTATTACCACAAAACACAGATCAAGTTTGAATTTTGGTGGTGTCCTTATACCGTTCAAGAGTTATGCCCCTTTACAAATGGAAAAGATGCTGAATTTTTCGTTTTCATTCTCTACCTTTAGTTTGCCTCAACCAAATGTTATGAAACTTATACACAATGCTTATTACCACAAAACACAGATCAAGTTTGAATTTTGTTGGTGTCACTTTTACCGTTCTAGAGTTATGCCCCTTTAGGAAAAATTGCTGAATTTTTCGTTTCTGTTCTCTAACTTAAGGTTGCCTCGACTAAATGTAATGAAAGTTATAAACAATGCTTATTACCACAAAACTCAGATCAAGTACAAATTTGGGTAGCGTCACTTACAGTTATTGAGTTATGTCTCTTTATAACGTAATATGCAAGCGGGGGCATCATCTGTGTCCCATGGACACATTCCCATTTATTTCATTTTTTTTTTTGTCAATTTTTCGTGGTAGGTTTGTTTGTTATTCTGTATAAATTAATTTTCAGAACATATATATATATATATATATATATATATTTTTTTTTTATTTTTTTTTTATGTTGCGAACTCCTTGAAGAACTTAGCTTATATTGTCCATTGATAAATAAATTAATTAAATTTTTGATGTACTTGGATATGCTGAATCTGCCCAAATCAGGGTCCAAAATTAACCTTTGTTTGATTTCAACAAAAATTGTATATATTGGGTTCTTTGATATGCTGAATCTAACCTTGTATTAAGATTTTGGATTTTGGGCCCTGTTATCAAATTGGTCCACATTTAGGTCCAAAGGGTCCAAAAATTCATCAAAAATTAAATTCTTGGGGTTCTTTGATATGCTGAATCTAACCATGTATTTTGATTTTGGATATCAGACCATAATAGGTAAAAGTCTAATTCAAATTTTTTAGTTCTTTGACCACATTCATTCTGTGTCAGAAACCTATTATATGTCAAATATTTAATCACAATCCAAATTCAGAGCTGTATCAAGCTTGAATGTAGTGTCCATACTTGCCCCAACTGTTCAGGGTTGGACCTCTGTGGTCGTATCAAGCTGCTTTCAGAAAACAAAATAGAGTCACGTTACTTGTTTCTTGCTGTATATCAAAGTAGTTAACAGTTCATTTGTTTATTTAACTAAATATCTGAGCTATCTCCGCTTTTAAAGTTAATATTTGTTCAGCCTGCTACAAAGTTAATTTTTAAACAACTGAGTAGGATAGGAACCATCATTTGTCATTTAAATGGTGGACACCACTTTTGGATATCCTATTAAAAAGTTTTCTGGGTGATGGAAGCACTTAATTATCTTATAAATTATTCAGATGACTGTAGAACTTTATAACTTTTGCTGTACTTTTTTACTTCCAAGATTTTTAAAATTTCTGTAACTGTTGATTTTGAGATTTCCTAATGAAGGTTACTCCAGGAAAGAACTTCAAAGATAAATTTTGTATGTATGGTTTTCTTATTAATTATGATATACTGTTTTAAAATTGTTGAATACTTTATTTTTCAGAAGACTAAATATGAAAACCAAGACTTAGTCCATGTTTTCAGAGAATATGTCAAAGCCATTAATCCACAGAATCTCTCATTGTTCATTGAATCATACCTCAAGTAAGTTAATTATTAGTCCCCTACCGACGAAGTTGAAGGGGACTTTAGGTTTGCAGTCCGTCCGTTCGTCTGTCCATCCGTCAGTCTGGCAAATCAGTTTTCCACACTTTTTCGTTGTGCTTGAAGATATTGATTTGATATTTGATAAATAGTTTCATCATGAAAAGTTACAGATCATGTTCGAATTTTGTTCCGGTCTGATGATTTTGTCCAGAGTTATGATCCTTGGACTTAAAAAAATTCACTCAAATAATCAGTTTTCCGCACTTTTTTTCGGCATGCTTGATGATATTGATTTGATAATAGGTATATAGTTTTATCATGACAAGTTACAGATCAAGTTCGAATTTTGTTGCAGTCTGATAATTTTGTCCAGAGTTATGGTCCTTGGACTTAATGCATAAATGTGTATTGAATGATCATCAGGACACTTTAATTTTAGGGCTGTTACACAATTAAATTTGTGGGGGTTGGAAGGCACTTTTAATTCAAATTTAAGAATAATACAGAAATAAATAAATATATATACAGTAGAAGGCTGGATGGTTTAAAGATGCCCCCTCCACTTACAAACACAGATATGATTCTGAAGCAATCCTTTTACTTTATAGGTGTTGATTGCAGACCTATTGTTAGTTTCTGATAATTTATTCATAACTTCTCTAGACTCTTGAGAGATTTAAAGGCAAACATAAAAAATGCTTTTTACCACAAGACACAGATCAAGTTTGAATTTTGGTGGTGTCACTTTTACAGTTCTAAGGTTATGCCCCTTTACAAATGGAAAAATTGCTGAATTTTTCGTTTCCGTTCTCTAACTTTAGATTGTCTCAACCAAATGTTATAAAACTTATACACAACCGTTCTAGAGTTATGCATGTTTACAAATAGAAAAATTACTGAATTTTTAGTTTCTGTTCTCTACTTAAGTTTGCCTCAACCAAATGTTATGAAACTTATACACAATGCTTTTTACCACAAAACACAGATCAAGTTTGAATTTTGGTGGTGTCACTTTTACAGTTCTAAGGTTATGCCCCTTTACAAATGGAAAAATTGCTGAATTTTTCGTTTCCGTTCTCTAACTTAAGTTTGCCTCAACCAGATGTTATGAAACTTATACACAATGCTTTTACACAAAACACAGATCAAGTTTGAATTTTAGCGGCGTCACTTTTACCTTTCTAGAGTTGTAGCATCACTTCTACCATTCTAGAGTTATGCCCCTTTACAAATGGAAAAATTGCTGAATTTTTCGTTTCCGTTCTATAACTTAAGTTTGCCTCAACCAAATGTTATGAAACTTATACACAATGCTTATTACCACAAAATGTAGATCAAGTAGGAATTTTACCGTTCTTGATTTATGTCCCTTTTTAATTTTATTTTTTTTTTAAATTCAACATTTAGTTAATTTCTGTCATAAATCCTCATACAAAACCTTAATTCAGAATGCTTGTTAAGTTAGTCAGATTCTTGCAAGTAGTCGATGTCAGTATTAATCAAACGAAACATCTGTTAAACTAAACAAAATTTATTTTGTAGATTAATATTAAATTGACATATTTTTTTTCAGACGTAGGGATCTTGGTATTGTAAGAGAACTTGATCCTATCAAAAGGCCACATGCCAGGACTATCAAGTAAGTTATTCATTGAGGGCAATCACCATCATTATGAAGCCCATACAATATTTTTATAAATTTGAAAGTGTGCAATATGTTTGATGAAACAATCTTTTAAGAATTAAAGGTACTTGACAAATAAAAAAAGATATTGCTAGTTTTAACATGTTAATGGCATTCAGTTAGATACTTTACAAAAATCTAATGTTATTCAGCTAGGATTTCCAAAATTTGCTTATCCTGCTGAAAGAATGAAAAATCTTAACAATAAAGTATAGTAATGATAATTTATTATGCTTGCAAATTATACCTGGATCTTTCTTTTATCTTTACAAAACTACTTTTTAAACATTTGGGGATGGAAAAAATAATTAATGAACTTCCTCCTTTGCAATTTTAAACATATTAAATTTATATGAACCAAAGCAAACATATATTTGATTGTTTTTAGATGTAGAAGTATTTTACTTGTTGGAGATGATTCACCACACATTGACCAAGTCACTGATATGAATGGGAGAATGGACCCTCAGGAAACAGATTTTATGAAAGTGAGTTCTTCTTAAGTTGTTTTTATACGTCCGTTTACGGGACGTATTATGGTATACTGTGACTGTCTTTCCGTCCGTCCGTCGTCAACATGTCAGACATTAATTCAAAAACGCTTTAACCAATATGCATAAAACTTTGGTGAATTGTTTATATCTATTGAAGTGAGCTCCCTATGTTTTTTATAAATTTTAGATTTACCATTTCCAAGTTTTGGGGTAATATTCATTAAAAAAGGGGGGGTTTTCCAGTTTTCGGACAATAACTCAAAAACAATATCACCAATTTGCATGAAACTTTGGTGAATATTCATATCTATTGACCTGAGCTCCCTTTCGTTTTTTATAAATTTCGGATTTACCGTTTACGAGTTTTGGGGTTTTATTCATTAAAAAAGTGGGGATTTTCCAGTTTTCGGACAATAACTCAAAAAATATTTCACCAATTTGCATGAAACTTTTGTGAATTGTTCATGTCTATTGACATGAGCTCCCTTTTGTTTTTTATAAATTTTGGATTTACCGTTTCCGAGTTTTGGGGTTTTATTCATTAAAAAAGGGGGGATTTTCCAGTTTTCAGACAATAACTCAAAAACAATTTCACCAATTTGCAAGAAACTTTGGTGAATTGTTTATTTTTATACGACCGCAAAAATTGAAAATTTTTTGGTCGTATATTGGTATGACGTTGGCGTCGTCGTCGTCGTCGTCGTCGTCGTCCGAAGACACATTGGTTTTCGCACTCTAACTTTAGTTTAAGTGAATGGATCTCCATGAAATTTTACCATAAGGTTCAATACCACGAAAGGAAGGTGGGGATTGATTTTGGGGGTTGTGGTACCAACAGCTAAGGAATTAGGGGCCAAAAAGGGGCCAAATATAAGCATTTTTGTAACTTCCAGACAATAACTTGTGTGTAAGTGTATGGATCTCTCTGACATTGTACCACAAGGTTCCATATCACAAAGGGAAGGCTGTAATTGATTTTGGGGGTAATTGCCTCAAAATTTTAGGAATTAGGGGCCAAAAAAGGGGCAAAAAACAAGCATTTTTCTAGTTTCATGACAATAACTTGTGTGTAAGTGTTTGGATATTTCTGAAATTGTACTACAAGGTTCCATATCACAAAGGGAAAGCTGGAATTGAGTTTGGGGGTAATTGTCCGAAACGTTTAGGAATTGGGGGCCAAAAAGGGGCCAAAAATAAGCATTTTTCTAGTTTCCAGACAATAACTTGTGTTCAAGTGTATGGATCTCTCTGAAATTGTACTGCAAGGTACCATACCACAAAGGGAAGGCTGGGATTGAGTTTGGGGGTGATGAATCATAAGGGGGTTCAAAAAATTTGGGGGGGGGGATTTTTTTTTTTCTTTTTTTTTCTTTTTTTCCTTTTTTTTTCCTTTTAAAATTTTCCATTTTAAGTTGGTTATTTCTGATTAATATTTAAAAGCAAATAATAATGATATGGTAGGAGATACACACCAAACAGGATGTGTAAATTATTATATAATAAGTATTGTGCAATAGCAAGAAATTTTCAATTGCACAGTATTGCACAATTGCAAGAAATCTTCAATTGCACAGTATTGCGCAATAGCAAGAAATCTTCAATTGCACAGTATTGCGCAATAGCAAGAAATATCCAATAGCACAATATTGCGCAATAGCAAGAAATTGTCAATTGTACAGTATTGCACAATAGCAAGAAATATTCAATTGCACAGTATTGTGCAAAAGAAGATACTTCGTATAAATTGCTTATTTCTTGATCAATTTCAATGGGGTTTTTATTCTTGAATTCTTGGGGTTCTTTAATATGCTGAATCTAACCGTGTATTAAGGTTTTGGATTTTGGGCCCCGTTTTTAAATTGGTCCACATTGAGGTCCAAAGGGTCCAAAATTAAACTTTGTTTGATTTCATCAAAAATTGAATTATTGGGGTTCTTTGATATGCCGAATCTAACCGTGTATTTAGATTCTTAATTTTTGGTTCCGTTTTCAAATTGGTCTACATTAAGGTCAAAAGGGTCCAAAATTAAACTTAGTTTGATTTTAACAAAAATTGAATTTTTAGGGTACTTTGATATGCTGAATCTAAACATGTATTTAGATTTTTGATTATGGGCCCAGTTTTCAAGTTGGTCCAAATCGGGGTCCAAAATTAAACTTTGTTTGATTTCAACAAAAATTGAATATATGGGGTTCTTTGATATGCTGAATCTAACCATGTATTTAGATTTTTGATTTTTGGGCCCCGTTATCAACTTTGTCCACATTGAGGTCAAAAGGGTCCAAAATTAAACTTTGTTTGATTTCATCAAAAATTGAATTCTTGGGGTTCTTTGATATGCTGAATCTAACCATGTATTTAGATTTTTTATTTGTGGACCCGCTATCAAATTGGTTCATATTGAGGTCAAAAGGGTCCAAAATTAAACTTTGTTTGATTTCATCAAAAATTGAATTATTGGGGTTCTTTGATATGCCAAATCTAACCGTGTTTTTAGATTTTTAATTTTGGGTCCCGTTTTTTAAATTGGTCTACATTAAGGTCCAAAGGGTCCAAAATTAAACTTAGTTTGATTTTAATAAAAATTGAATTTTTGGGTTCTTTGATATGCTGAATCTAAATATGTGTTTAGATTTTTGATTGTGGGACCAGTTTTCAAGTTGGTCCAAGTTGGGGTCCAAAATTAAACTTTGTTTGATTTCAACAAAAATTGAATATATGGGGTTCTTTGATATGCTGAATCTAAACATGTATTTAGATTTTAGATTTTTGGCCCAGTTTTCAAGTTGGTCCAAATTGGGGTCCAAAATTAAACTTTGTTTGATTTCAACAAAAATTGAATATATGGGGTTCTTTGATATGCTGAATCTTACCATGTATTTAGATTTTTTATTTTGTGGGCCTGCTATCAAATTGGTTCATATTGAGGTCAAAAGGGTCCAAAATTAAACTTTGTTTGATTTCATCAAAAATTGAATTATTGGGGTTCTTTGATATGCCAAATCTAACCGTGTTTTTAGATTTTTAATTTTGGGTCCCGTTTTTTAAATTGGTCTACATTAAGGTCCAAAGGGTCCAAAATTAAACTTAGTTTGATTTTAACAAAAATTGAATTCTTGGGGTACTTTGATATGCTGAATCTAAACATGTGTTTAGATTTTTGATTATGGGACCAGTTTTCAAGTTTGTCCAAGTTGGGGTCCAAAATTAAACTTTGTTTGATTTCAACAAAAATTGAATATATGGGGTTCTTTGATATGCTGAATCTAACCATGTATTTTGATTTTGGACATTGGACCATAATAGGTAAATTAAAAAAATTGAAGTTCTTAGACCACATTCTTTCTGTGTCAGAAACCTATGCTGTGTCAAATATTTAATCACAATCCAAATTCAGAGCTGTATCAAGCTTGAATGTTGTGTCCATACTTGACCCAACTGTTCAGGGTTCGACCTCTGCGGTCGTATCAAGCTGCGCCCAGCGAAGCATTTTATTATCCACATGAGCTCACTTTTGATTTTTATGAATTTCAGATAATACGTTTCCTGTTTATGGGGTTTTATTCATTACAAAAGGGGGATTTTCCAGTTTTCGGACAATAACTAAAAATTGCTTTCAGCTTTTTTTATGAAACTTTGGTAAATTGTTTATATCTATTTTTGTAAGCTCCCTTTTGATTTTTATAAATTTTCGATTTTACGTTTCCAAGTTATAAGATTTTCTTTGTTTATAGTCTGACAACAGATTTACTAAGTATTGCGCAACAGCACAGTGTATTGCACAACAGCAAGAAATTTTTCATATAACCAATTTCAAGTTCTTTGACTACATTTATTCAGAAACCTATAATATATCAAATATTTAATTACAATTCAAATTCAGACCTGTATCAAGCTTGAATATTGTGTCCATTTTTGCCACAAATGTTCAGGGTTGGACCTCTGAGGGCGTATCCAGCTGCGCTCAGCGAAGCAGTTTATTCAAATTAGTGATATATAAAAAAAATATTCTGTATTTTTTAAACTTTCTAAATATTGTTTTCCCCTGAACACACTTCTGTATTTTATAAAATTTTCTATAGTTTTCACTTAAATGTCATAAAAAAATATCCTTTGACATTTCAGATACAGGATTGTGGAGGGATGCCATTGGAAGAACAGCCAGGGAAAGTGTGTGAAGCATTCAGATTATTCTTGCAAGGCATGGGATATGGTAAGTATTTAAATGGTATAGTACTCTATATACAGAAATAATTGTAATGCTTTGTTTTGTTGGAAATTTCTTTCATATGGAAAGAAGTAGATTCTAGTGGAGTTGAAGAAGGGGGTGGGGTGCAAATGATACAGAAAATGGAAGTTTCATTTTATATATTTATGATGCATTATAGTCAAATATGTGGAGATATGTGTGACAAATATATAATAACTTTGTTAAAAATAGACAGAAAAGAAATTAGATGTGTAAAGGTATGTCATTTTGTAAGGCTTGGTAAAATGATAATATAAAACATTTAATAAGATAATTAATTGTCATTTTAGCATTAAATGCTTTGAAATATATATATGAGTAATGTTATTGACAAATTCACTGTGGCAATTCTGCTAGAATCTGTGATATTTTGTGTATCCCATATGGAAGTTAATGATAGCAATCGTTTACTCTTAAAAATTGATATCCCTAATATTTAAGGTTTTAAATTTATCAAGTGTTATCTTTTATGGAATATCAATCTGAAATTTAATCAACAACAGAAAGGGTAGAAAAGACCAAAGGAGTAAGTTCGGTAAGGGTCATATTTCGCCCCAATTATTAAGTTTTATGTTTCAAGGTAATAAGTGTTTTAAAGTGAGAAAAATAAATAGAACTTCTTTTGTCATTGTTTTTGTTTTTAAAGCATTGATCTTTACATCCCAAACAGGTCAAAATGAAGATTTTTTGCAAAATTTAACGAAATTGTCCTGATTTCAACCAAATTAAGGCCTAGGAAGCATAGAGAGCAGGCTTCGACAAACTAAATATTCAATTCAGATATGTAAAATGTTATAACAGACATTTTGTTGAAAGATCTTCTTTGTCGACACATGCGCTCTATGTTATCTGGCCAGAAAAATCAATGGAAAATTACCCGTTTTCATTGAACTTTTGTTGAAAATAAAAATGAGTGCTATTTGAACGCAAGTACAATAATTTTTAACAAAAAGACATATTTCCTATCTAGTCATTGTATTAGCTATGATTCATTGTGATATTTGTCAATAAATCCTAATTTGAAATTGTAGCTAAAAATAGGGGCTGTTTTATGGTGTAATCAAACTTACTCCTTTTCTGCAAAGTCTCTTCTGAACTTGTCAATTCCTGAGATAATTACAGAAAATACTATAAATCTGTTCACAAATGAAATTAATAGTTTCCTTGGTTTTAACCATTAATTAACAGGAGTTGTGTATTCATTGGTATTTAAATACTAAAATTAGAGACACAGGCAACCAATATTTTGATGTTCAGCCAGTAGACAAAAGTAATATATTAGTGAAAGAAAATATTATGAGACAGATGTAACTTACTAACAATGACTAACACTCAGAATGTGATTTTTAAACTTGAAAAAACTTTGAAAATATACTTAGAAATTTTCTTTGATATTCGAAATTCAAAGTTGACTATGGCACAAATAGAAAATTAAGTGCTTGATAGTAGAATCTTAGAAATTATTATAGGGTAAATTGTAACAGATATTTACAAATGGTTAAATGTGTTTTATTCCATTTATATATGTTAAGTTCCCATGTGCAAAAGCTCGTAAGTAAAATTCTTTAATGATATCTAAACATGTATTCAGACGGGTAGCAAAAAATGCATGGCATTTTGCTTGTGATATTAGAAATGAAAGTTACATTGATCAACACATGCTTCTGTACTTTAGATTTGCTTTTATCGTGTTAATAAGCCTGATCCGGTTTTTACACTTGTTCTTTCAGTTATTAACGTCACATTATCATTTCTTGAAAGTGAGAAATAATTTGGTTTAATTAGAAATCATTATTTTGTAAAGAATAAAAGGTGTTTTGAGCCATTGTTCAGTTTTCACAGCTTCGCAAAATATCAATTTATGAATTCTATTAATTATTCACACATATTTCGTGTTTGTTTACTAATATTCATTTTACCACATTTATGCTGTTAATCATTATATCTGTATAAATCAGGGTCAAATGTACTGATTTTGTTACATTTTTGATAACCATTGTAACATGTGAATAATTATATATTACAGATCAAAATAATGTAGCTAGTAACTTTTGATAGGAAATTACTTTTGAATAAGACTAGAAATTATAGTGGAAAGACAAAATTGTCTTTTAAAAAATGTTCTTTTCTTTGAAATACATTTGTAATTTCAAATTTAAGGCATAGAAAAACGTTTTTTGGTTATCTATTTCTGCTATACAATTTTAAATTAATTTTCATTTTTATTTCAGTGCCAACGTTAAGAGCCCCACAAAATCCAGCTCAGCAAACACGACATAGTCCACTTAGGAAAGAAGTGGATTTCAGCAAAATCCAACCTGTTTGTTAGTTGTTTATTATTATATGTGCTTGACACTTGAGTATTGTGAACTGTAAACAAAATAATAGTAGACACAATTTTTACAAACATTGTATGTTGAATTATTTGCATATGATGTAAATCATTTACTTACAGATTTATGTTGCTTCTTATATTTATGTGTTTACCATTATATTAATGCATAAATTCACAAATGAAGTTTTGAGAAATTGCTGATTGACCTTCGTTAAAGCTATAAGTGATTTATTTGGGGTTAATTTCAATATTTGAATAAAACATTACTGTAACATTATAATTTGTATGAAAATTATCAATTTAAATACTTAATAAGGTGAGTTTTGTCATTGAAAATTGCTATTTCTAAAACACATCTGTGATAAAATTTTAAAAAATTAAGTGAATCACAATTTACTGTGAAGTTATGATACTAAAACGGTTTTCATTGATTGACCTCATTAGGTGTTCCAATCAATCAACTTGTTTATTTAAAATTATGAATTAAAGTTTTTGAAAATTGAAAAAAAAATAATTGCTAAGGTGGCTGTCTCTTAAAATCATGTGTGTATAGAGAAAATCTGCGTATTTGGACAGACATCTCAAAGGGAAGATGAGTGCAATGTATCATACATAATCATGATAATTATTGGATTGTTGTTGTATATACTTCATTGTTGATTATTTTATGTAAAAATTATTGAAATTATGTGAATTTATAATAATGTATATATATGTGTTTTTTAATGAGTATATTTATATTATGTTATGTGATAACAGACCCATGCTTTACTGGGTTTGCTATATGATTTAAACAGTGCAGTAATATTGTTATACTTCTAATAATAAAACAGTTTGGCAAAAAAGTCAGAAACTAAATATTTTTTCTATTAGACCAAAATGTGTTTACTTAAAAACCTATGGACAAATACTAAGTGAATGTGTAAATGTTTATAGATTATGAACAAAAGCTAATCTCTTGTTCTATGTAAGATTTTTTATATGTATGCAGTTCTGTGTTACTACTGAAAAGGTTTGTGAGAATGAAGTACATGTATTTGTCCTTGATGTCAGAAAGAAAGGTCATGCAAATTGTTTTTGTAATTGAGGTATGAGCAGATTAATTTATCTATTATAGAGAATTGCATTTTTATGAATTTTTATGAAGAGTTCAATATAAATACATAAGAAAAGTAGTATTTTTGGAACATACATGTATTGTATGTATATACAATTTTGTTCAAAATGTAAATATGTAATAATTGTTTCAGCACTCACAAGATCAATTAAAGAAAAGAAGAAAAAACAAGGAATCCTCTGAATTGACTATGACTATGTTCCTCAACCCTGACAAGGTTCCCTCAACAAAATGTTGTATATATTGGTAGATTAGGATCATTGAGGTCCAGTTCTTCATTTGACCGCTGTATAAAGTTATTTATTTTCTATATTATTTAGGACAAATATTAATTACTGGATAAAAGTTTTAAACAACTGAACCAATCTCTTTAAATGTTTGTAAGAAAATAGTACATCGATTATCTACTTACTTCAGGTATTCTGGTTTCCACAGTATAAATTTGTCAAATTTTTGCTTCATTCTTGTTAATAAAATGTTGCAAAAGACAAAATGATGAAAGTTGAAAAAAAAACTTTAAATATATACATTGAGGAAAATCTACCATTTTTACACTGTTTTCTAGATTTTATATCTCTAATCAATATAATATTATTTTATTTTCACATTGCTGAGAAACAAATGAAAAAGATGAAAATATAAAAACAGAAAGTGAAAATTGTCTCATACTATAGTTTCTATTTGATTAGAATGTTAGACTTAGACTTATCTTTAAAGAATCTCAGATCATTTTATGTTATAAGGAGAAAATAATGGCATAATCAGTCAGGTGTTTCCAGTGAAACATAGCTTGAAACTGCCTCATCAATGAATATTTTTTGTGTTTAATTGTGATGTATTTGTTCATATCAAGTCGAGTGTTGTTGTAATTCCCAAGATTTGTTGTCTTTTTGTTGTGAGCATTTATCTGTAGATGTAACCCTGTGCACACATTACTTTGTACATATATTGACTAAACCATGTGAATATTTAATTGTAATTAGATATTTAAGCTTTGTAATGTTTATTTATGAATCATTCCACAGAAATTTTTCACAGAAATCAGCAATTAAATGATTAGAGAAAGTTCATGTTCTTTTTAGTATACTCCCAGCTTTCTGAAACATGTGTATAAGGTGACAGAATATTTTTTTTTTCCTCATTCCGTCCCAATTTTTTTTTTCGCAACTGCTCTTCAGCCCAGTAGTCAGCACTTCTGTGTTGACATGAATTATCATTGATATGGTCATAATTATAAATTAACTGTTTAGAAAACTTTTAATATTTTGAAAACTTGAGTATTTTCTACCCTGGGAATAGATTACCATAGCTGTATTTGGCAAAACCTTTCAAAATTTTGGGTCCTCAATGCTTTTCAACTTTGTACTTTATTTGGCCTTTTTAACTTTTTATGCCTTAAGCATTAAGTTTTACCCTTATCCTTCTGTCCGTCCGTACATCCCAAAATTGGTTTACGTTCTCTAACTTTAGTTTGCCTCAACTAAATGTTATGAAACTTATACACAATGCTTATTACCCTAAAACACAGATCGAGTTCGAATTTAAGTGGCATCACTTTTACCATTCTAGAGTTATGTCCCTTTACAAATGAAAAAATTGCTGAATTTTTCGTTTCCGTTCTCTAACTTTAGTTTGCCTCAAACAAATGTTATGAATCTTACACACAATGCTTATTACCACAAAACTCGGATCAAGTACGAATTTGGGTAGCGTCACTTTTACAGTCCTTGAGTTATGTCCCTTTATAACGTTATATGCAAGCAGGGCATCATCTGTGTCACATGGACACATTCCCCATTTATTTATTCAAGTGTCACTGAGGAATCTTTTGTAGATTAAACGCATGTCTGGCGTACAAAATTTTATCCTGGTATCTATAATGAGGTTATTAATTGTAAAACTGTTTTAATATGACTGATAATTTTTTTACTCTCGTAATTTGGCATAAAACTATTGCACAATTTATGATTGATTGTCCAATTTTGTACTTGTTAAAAAGAAGGGGATGCTTGCAAGCATGCTTCTTGCTTATAAACAAGACTACTTAAGAATTTATAATACAAAATTGATTAGTTCTAAATTATCAATAGCTTCTCCTGAAAAGGTATTTCATAATGAAGTAAATCATTTTTACTTCGCAAGTATTTTGTGCTGTCAGGCATCGACACAGGTAAAATGATTAGCTAGCATTAGCCTGATATACTTAGGGCATAAAACAATTCACTTTTAGTGTCTTGTTGATTATCATAGATTCAATATTTTATTAAAGTCTCACCACTTGTTATACATATAATAAAATCATCATAATATATACATTGTATTGTATAAAACAGTAGTTTTATAAGTTAGAATACAAGTGCCATTCTATAAAGAATTATGAGAGACTATAGAAATTCCAATAAATTATAACTATATCTTATGCCTATAAAACATTTCCATTCTGCAAAAACATAACTACATTTATCATGTCTATAAAATATTTCAGTTCTGTAAAAACATAACTATCAATCAAGCATATAAACAACTATTTCTTCTACCTAAAATATTCAAGCAGTGATGTTCCTCTGAAGGTATGTAACAAATGAGCACCAACAGAGGCCAAAGTTTACTTTACAAAGCTTTCCAAATTACTTTTTGATTTCTATTGTGAAAGGAAAGGACAATAAACCATTCAGAAATGTTATTTGAAGGGATTTACTATATGTTAAAACTTTTATTCTAATGAGAAACATATTTGGTATTGGGCAAACAACTTTCAAGAGAGCAATTCAGGATCATAGGAGCATTTGTTTATTTTTGAACACATACATTTCAATAGCAGAAATGGGTTTTGAATATGGCTGAAAGAAATCTTTCTGTTTCAAAATATCCTTTGATTTCTATGATTTCATACAGCTATACTTGATTTTTAATATAGCCCAAGAAAACACATTGATATTGTTAACCTGAAGCACTAGACAAGTTAATCACGTACACAAAGTCGTCTTCTTCATGTTGTTTGATTATGAAACTTCTGTTTTAATTTGCCAAACATTGGCTTTCAATGTGGCCATTTGTTGTACTAACATTCACCATTAATTAAAAACCTGATGGGCAGACATAATTACGTTGATGCCATTTGTTGCAAATTTGTTTTTGTTTGTATGATGCTAAGGATTTCCTTTCATTACATTACTGGAATTACATTTCCATCTATAAATAATGGACCAGATTGCACGCTCACTTTTAGGTTCTTGAAAGAAGAGAGTTGAGCTATGCACATTTCTTTCATGCTAAGTTAATATTTATTTTCAATTTTCTCAATACAATTATAAAGATTGGTTTCATTAGCTCACGTGGCCCGAAGGTCCAGGTGAGCTTTTCTCATCGGTTGTCGTCGTTTGTCATCGTCGTCGTCTGTCGTCTTTAATTTTTACATAAATCTCCTCTGAAACTACTGGGCCAAATTTATCCAAACTTGGCCACAATCATCATTGGGGTATCTAGTTTAAAAAATGTGTCTGATGATCCTGCCTGTCAACCAAGATTGCCGACATGGCTAAAAATAGAACATAGGGGTAAAATGCAAGTTTTGTCTATTATTTTGAAAACCATTAAAAATGTTCAGAATGTTGAGCTCTACCTATTGTTTATATGTTTTAAAACTGTCAGACGACTTCTTATAGGAGTTATTGCCCTTAACTGACAAATTTTACCATTTTTTTTCATTTCGCCTATTATCTTGAAAACTATAATAGAAACTTTAACTTGCAAAAATAATCAGCAAAACAAGTTCTATATTAAGTCTCATGGTTGAAATCATCAGTCGACTCCTTATTAGAGTTATTGCCTTTTAATGACGATTTTTACCAATTTTTGGCGTTTTTGCCTTATATCTCACAAATTATAATAGATAGATAGAAACTTAAATAAGCAAAAATGATCGACAAGAAGAGATCTACAATTTAGAAAAATATGGAAGACATAGTGCGCCGACTCCTTATTGGAGTTATTGCCCTTTAATGACGATTGTTCCCATTTTTTTGCGTTTTGCCGTATATGATAAAAATTATAATATATAAATTGACACAAAAATGATAAGCAAGGCAAGATCTAACTAACAAATCAAATTTTGACAATATAGTTATTAGACTGCCACTCTTTACAGGAGTGATTGCCCTTAAATGAGGAATTTTTTACCCTCTTTTGTGTTTTGAGCAAAAACTAAAGAACATAGAGAGAAACTAAACAGACTAAATGATCAGCAATCCAATATCAACAAAACAGAGATTTTTGTCATGAATTCTATTATCGTCTACAATGTTGGAGAGTGTCATTTGTTGAATATGCACATAGACCAAGGTGAGCGACACAGGCTCTTTAGAGCCTCTAGTTTTCATATATCTATAGAAATTATAATTCGTAGTAACTTAATCATACCTGAAACAATTTTCAAGTAAATGCACGAAGAAACCTTTGTTACTGTAATTCAATGATGTGCTCTGAAAATGGGAAAAAAAATATTCTTTTGTTTGCTTAGATTTTCCCATTTACATACTTTTGTTTTTTGATAAAATGGGCAGGCATTGTGATGCAAACACTTATGACCTTGTCTATAATGTGCCCTGTAAATTCATATTCTCCAGTGTTCGTTGTATTCATAGATGTTCCCTTTCACCCAGTTTTCCCCTGGTTAAACGGACAGGCATATTGTGATGTATGAACGTATGGCATCGACTGTTGTATCCAAAGTAAAGCAACTTAAGATTACTTAAATCGGACAGTCCCGCTTCACTCTATATTTTGATATTCATCAGATAATAAGGAAAACCAAATGTGTTTAACTTCAAGCTTACCATGAATTGTGTAATGTTAATTATTACCAAAAAAAAAACTATAACAGCAGGACTATAGATGGTGTGAAAACTTTTACTAATGTTATTTACTAAAAAAAAAACTATAACAGCAGGACTATAGATGGTGTGAAAACTTTATCTAATGTTATTTACTTAAAAAAAAAACTATAACAGCAGGACTATAGATGGTGTAAGAACATTTTATGAAATCGTATGACAAATGTGGAGATTCATGCTAGAAATATAAAAGTAAGAAGATGTGGTATGATTGCCAATGAGACAACTCTCCACGGGAGACAAAATGACACAGACATTAACAACTATACGTCACCCTACGGCCTTCGACAATGAGCAAATCCCATACCGCATAGTCAGCTATAAAAGGTCCCGAAATGACAAATGTAAAACAATTAAAACGAGAAAACTAACGGCATAATTTATGTACAAACTAATGAACGAAAAACAAATATGTTACACAGCAACAAACGACAACCTGAATTGCAGGCTCCGGACTTAGGACAGGCACATACAGAATGTGGCGGGGTTAAACTAGTTTGTTGGCGTCAAACACTCCCCCCCCCCCCCTAACCTGGGAAGTCTGATTCCACTTGTGGGTCTTTAATAAAAATTGGTATTTGCTTCCAGCTTTTAAAATTATATCTATTTGCTGTTTTTGATATCTATTGTTATTTAAGAGATAACTGCTTTATACAATACTTATTTTTATTGTATGATATTTTAATGACGTTTTTTCAGTCTACTGATAGATGAGTGGGGTTGAGACCTAAATAAAACTAGTTCAACCCACCAACTTTTCAAATGCATGTTCCAAGTTAGGAACCTCGCCAGTTGTTGTCGTTTGTCATATCTTAATGATTTTCGTTATTTGGAGAATTTAGTATTTATGGCAGATTTTTGATGGTTTCTGTTTAATTTACTCACTTTTAAATACTCGGGTAGCAGCGGAACCGTAGCTCTTAGGTTCTTGTGATATTTTTTGACAATTTGCGGACCATAAATCTATGGTTTGCACAAATCAAAGAAATATCATATAGACCATCAGAGTTACGGTTCCACAGCTAATACTCGGGAAGATATTTAGCATGACATATTGTATATACATCTGTCTATTGTGGAAGACTGTTTTTGTCGTTGGGTTAATGTTTTACCTCACTTATCTTTTTATTCGTAATTAAATACCTCTTTTTTGTATATTATAAATGAATATTTGTAGTTGTTGATGTTTATATAATGTATATGCTGTTTGATACTTAAAAGAAATAAATTTAAAAACAAATCAACGTACGGATTTTAAATTTTTTATAGAATAAGGTTTAAGCAAAAAAAGGTCACCGTACGGTCTTCAGCAATGACTAAAACCCATAATTTATAGTCTGCTATTATAGGCCCCGACATGACAAAATATGAATCCTTCCCTCCCTCCCTCCCTCCCTCCATCCATCCATCCATCCATCCATCCATCATTCCATCCATACATGTATATACATGTACATCCATCCATCCATACATACATTAACATATTGTAAAAGACATAATTATTGGTAGTCAGGTACATGCAATACGAATCCCCATGACATAGATATCTTTATCTATAGTATATATGTGTGCAAATACATTTAATATCAGTAATAACATATTTGGATAATCTGTCCACAATGAGGTAGGATTTGTCCCGTTATTTTGTATATCATAGTTCACTTTTTTCCGTAATGAATAATGCCATAAGATACATTATCTATATACACGTACACGATATATAAAAAAAACTATTAGTGGTCCCAATACTTTTTTCGTTTGGTAAATCGCGAAGAAATAAGTGAAGTCGAATGGATAGATTGACAAAACTTTGAAATGCTCTTCACAGTCTCTATTAAAATGAAATACTCGTTTGCAACGATAGCATGTTGTATAAAGGTGTCAACAAAAATACCGAACTCCAAGGTAAATTCAAAAATGAGGAATTCCATAAAACCTGACAAATGATCAAACGTTAGACTTTACTTATGATCAATATAACCTTTATTACTACACATTAAAATAGTAGGTAGATAATAAGTAGATAATCGTTATTGTTTCGATTTAGTTCATTATAATGAATGCTTTACAATAATCATCACTTATTTAAAAGAATTGTAAACATAACGATTTTAATCCGTATATATATAAATAACGAGTTTGTAGAAATATGTATCAACGAATTCAAATTGCATTTTGCAAGGTCTTACAGGCCTAAGGTTGCTGTAGACGGGAGGAATTTGAATAGTTTTATTGTATCTTATATATTTTTTTATTGATTGTTTCTGGTGGGGCCGTTACTCTTTCAATTCGAGTATGTTATCACATCAAATGACATATGTAGTTTACTTTTACGTAGACACCATACATGAACATGCACGATTTATTTCGTATATTATAAATAACAAATCCTTTTTCATCTTATTTTTCAAGTCGAAAATGGCAGCCACCGTTAACTACATTAGAACGAGGTTTGCATGGGTTAAACTTAGAGAATGTTTCTATGGATACAGTGGCAACATCTGCTCGATTCGTATTTGACGGTGGGCCTTCTACAGAGCCATTGGTTCCTCCGATATATCACGCCTCGACATACAAACTCAAGTCAGTGGATGATTACCTGAAAATATTGGACGAGGTGAGTATAGATAGTAATATGAACAAAACGAGATGTGGGTTAAACGTCAATGAGACAACCACCGAACGCAACTAATAACCATAACGCATCTATAGGGCAACTTACAGTCTACATCAATAAACAGGTGTCTATTTGTACATGTTATACCGGTATGTCATCTATAGGGTAACCTACAGTCTACATCAATAAACAGGTGTCTATTTGTACATGTTATACCGGTATGTCATATATAGGGTAACCTACAGTCTACATCAATAAACAGGTGTCTATTTGTACATGTTATACCGGTATGTCATCTATAGGGTAACCTACAGTCTACATCAATAAACAGGTGTCTATTTGTACATGTTATACCGGTATGTCATCTATAGGGTAACCTACAGTCTACATCAATAAACAGGTGTCTATTTGTACATGTTATATGTCATCTATAGGGTAACATACAGTCTACATCAATAAACAGGTTTCTATTTGTACATGTTATATATCATCTATAGGGCAACTTACAGTCTACAACAATAAACAGGTGTCTATTTGTACATGTTATATGTCAATCTCTAAATCAACCCGAATCTCAAAATGTTATGAACAAAAGCAAACAGACACAATCAAAGCTGTTATAAACATTTATTTAGTTTAAAACCATAGTATACATCGATAAATTCATTTTGATTCTTGATTATTCATACCAGAAAAAGGTCATACAATTTATAAAACCCGACGGAGATAACATCTTTGTTTGTGTTATCTCAATTTACACGGAGTGTCATAAAATAGGATTTACACTACTCATGCGTTTTGCATAATTTTCAATATGAATTCACCTGTACATTATATTTTATAAAACATATCTTGTTGTTATAAAATAAATTTCTTGAAAAAGAACGGAAAGCAAGAATATTACGGCGACGTTTTGTTATCTACCAAGAGTTTCAAAGACGCCGTAAACCTAAGGATTTAATCTGAGCTCGGACAGGACTGTAGTTGATGCTAGTTAAATGAATATAACATACTGAAAAGATTTGTCTATCGTTTTACACTTTATGATTTGATATGTTTATATATGTTTTTAGCATACGAAATATGTAAGTCCAAGAATATTATTTGGAAATATCTCCCATGTTGCTTAATTATATCCTTATAAATGTAAATGTCTAAGATGTCTACTACAATGGAACTTACCAAATCATTGTTTTTGCATACCTTTTTTTTTGCGTTTCTTGGTCACAACATTTTTACCGTTATGTCTCCTAAAGAGTGGCGAAAGAAACCAAAGGGACATGCAAACTCATAAGTCGAAAATAAACTGACAACGCCATGGCTAAAAAAGAAAAATACCAACAGACAAACAGACAAACAACAGTACACAAAACAAAACATAGAAAACTAAAGACTGAGCAACACGAACCCCACCAAAAACTACATTTAAAACATAAAACTATTTAACTGAAGCGAATCATTAAGTTCACCACCGGTTTTCGGTAGTGTTCGTGCTTCTCGGTCTTTGGTTTTCTAGATAGTTTTTGTTATCGTTGTTTAACTTTCGTCGTTTTTATTTTTGGCCATGATATTGTCTGTTTTTATTAGGCTGATGATTTTTGAATGCCCCCCATGGTGTCGTTTCTCTTTTTTAAAACCGCCATCCCAATTTTGTTTAACTATTTCACTGGTTGTAAATTAATACATAAGGGAGGGGGAAATATTTATAAACAGACCTTTTTTCAGACCTTATGGTTGGATAGAATATACAATGCTGGATAAGTATGGTTTTTATTTTTCTGTACTCCTTCGTTTTTTTCAGGGTGGTTACATATATTCCAGGCTGAACAATTTTACATGCGATTCCGTTCAAGCAGCTATCAATGTAATAGAAGGAGGAAAGGGTACTCTTGTGTTTAATACAGGGATGTCAGCAATCAGCACAGCTTTGTTCTGCTTTCTGAAATCAGGGGATCACATTGTAAGTATATTATATATAATGCTACAACTCGCGTAATGCAAATTTTGTTGTATTATTCAACCTTTTTTTGTTTTCCTACTTCGTATGTTTTTTTATTTTCCAACAGCTGTTCTTTGATCATGCATATGAAGGTACATCTAGAGAGTCATTGTGTGCAAACTGACAATATAAAAATAAGGAGATGAGGTATGATTGCCAATGAGACAAATATCCACCAACATTCAAATAAAGTGGACGTAAGCAATTATATTCAATCGTAAGGCCTTCAACAATGAGAAAAACCCATACCGTATAGTCGGCTATAATAGGCCCCGACATGAAAAATATGAACCAATTCAATTGAGAAAATTAACGACCTAATTAATAACAAAACAATTAACGAAAAACAAATATGACTGACAAGAAACAACGTCTACCACTGAACTACAGGCTCCTGACTTTGGACAGGCACATAAAGAATGTGGCGGGGTTAAATATGTTTGTGAGCGCTCAACCCTTCCCTAACCTGTGACAGTGGTGTAACAAACTATAAAATCAGTTGAAAAAGGCTTAACTCATCAGATCGATACAAAGCAGGAACCATCAAACATAAACACAGACCGGACGTGGCATGGTATTTATACATCCCTTTTCCCTAACAACAAAAAGACACTAAGTACAGATCTGAGAGTACTCGCAGTTACTGACAGCTAGTTCAAAGCCAATTATAACTTATAAAAAAATCATGTATCTAAGGCTAAAATATTAGTGCACATCCAACATTAAATGGATTTAGTATTAAGACGTCATTAAAAGTCAGAGAAAAACATGACCTTGTGCAATGCCAAAGTAAAGGTATAGACAGATTATAGTACCGTTAAAGTGCTTATGTGTATAACAAAAATATTAGTTAATTAATTTACTGATAACAAAATCAATATTTATACCAATAAAAACAATAAGCCTATAATGTATATTTAACTCAGTTGAGAAAAAAACATCATGAATCTGTTTGCGTGTGACGTATATAAATGTTTAAACAGGTCTTTTCGTATCAAGGTGACTTCCTCTTGAAAACAATGATCTTGTACAATAATTAATATTTATAATAGTATTTAACTGAACGTTTGCAACGATTTAAGTTTTGAAATAACAATGATTATAGATGCATTTAGAAAAATGAATCCATCAGGGGACTGTCAACGTGTCCAATTTCATGCACACTCTATCCGTGTAGCTTTACATCGAAATATCATTAAAATCATGACGCTACAATCAATAATAATAATAATAATAATAATAATGATAATAATCAAATAATTATAATCAAAATTTCAGATAATTTGTAATCCAGTATACAGCGGAATATACGACATAGCAGTAAACATGTTTCCGAAGTTCAACATAGAAGTTTCCTTTGTCCAAGCAGGAAGTTCTGTAGAAGAATACACGAAACAGATCAAGCCAAATACAAAGGTATATGGGAAAAGGAAAATGACAAACATGACGATTTAAGTTTTTCGAATATCAATCTCGATCATGATCCAGCTATACATACTTCATGAACAGGGGTATGATTCTAGCTAAAAAAAACTCCCCCGGCAGGGTAAAGAAAAAGATCGATTAAAATAATCGACACAAGTCTACGCATTACCACGAATTAACGATACGATGTGCTTATGTCGCAAATACGGGAGACGTGTTTTTGTAGTCTTAGATCTCAAGACATCAGAAAAGTCGTCTGGTATGAAATTTAACAATAGTGTCTTTAACTGCGTCTGGATTTGCATTGCGGGTGGTGGATTGGAGTGGTGTATGCATAACAGTCTTTCGTTTTCTATGTTGCGTTTTGTGTACTGTTGTTTGTCTGTTTGTCTGTTTCTTTTTTAGACATGGTGTTGTCAGTTTATTTCGACTTATGAGTCTGAATGTCCCTTTTGTATCTTTTGCCCCTCTTTAACAGGAGACGTATTCCCTATTGACGTATCCTCTGTCGTTTCGTTTGGAATTCGTACGGTACCCTCATTGTTTCTCTATTTTTGGTTATTCGAAATGGATTAGCACGTTTTGAATATCCGTGACGGTTGCCTCTGTTTCTTAAGGTAAATGTATACTTTAAAAAGAACACAGATTCCAGCAAGATATTTGAAATTGGAAGGGTCATTCAACATTCATACGGAAACCAACTGTAATCCTTTTCACATCGACTTATTTCTCTATTTTTCGAGGGAGACTTTACGTAATTGATTTTATAGAAATTGACACTTAGAAATTAACATTGAGAGTAGATTGAAAACTAAACGTTTTGACAAAATAGATGACTTCTTTTTCCCATTCCTAACTACTAGTATCAAATTTAATGTAGCAACATCCGAGTAATTGCATAAGGATTATATATCTCCTAGTTGATACGATATTCCAGAACGTACTTTTCCCTTATGGATTTATTAGTTGAAGATTGCTTCTTTCTAGGAAGCTATTGAGATAAGGGTTCAAGGCTAAAATTGGATTCCTTTCGTCGACAGTTGTTTTACTACTCATGACACCTGAATTTCGTTGACCTCTTTAGACTATCTGTTTCCCGGATAGCCAGGAATATATGTTTCATTTGTCGAAATCGGATGTCCATCCTCATTTTCACAAGTTGTTCTGGATTTTAACATACCATGAGTGTGAGCAATACGACAGGTGTGCTGTTGAAGCATCAGCTGACTGTCTTCCGGATCATCCCCGGTTATTGATTGTTCGAGATTCTCAATTTTTGTTTTCTGTGTAGTGTTTGTGGAATGCTAATTGTCTTTTGTACATTTTGACCATGCTATTGTCTGTTTTCGTCGACTGAGGTTTTTGATTGTCCGCTGTAGTCGTCTAATTTATTTCAGACCTTTTGCTGATTTTCCAGATGTCGAACCTTATTTTCAGCAGCATTGAAATTAGCTGCAGCGTTCTAGTTGGAGGGTTTCCACTTTGTGTACATAACTTTTATAGTCTTAAACACAATGATTTTGTATATTTTTGTTCGTAATACATTGGAGATATACAGTTTTTCCTCAATTTATTTTTTTAGGAAAATCTTAGTTTTGCATCTGCCAATTGAGTTTTAGATTCATTTCAATCATTTTTCAAAGAGAAACTACTATTAATTCATGTGGAAGGTTTAATATTTAAAACACGGACTAATTTAAGCAAGAAAACTTTGTATAGTATTTCTGACTTATAAATATCATAACAGAACCAATTCTAAGTATCTCCAAGTACAGAGTAAAATTGAGAATAGAAATGGGGAATATGTCAAAAAGAGACAACAACCCGACCAAAGAGCAGATAACAGCCGAAAGCCAGCAATGGGTCTTCAATGGAGCGAGAAAATCCCGCAATCGGAGGCGTGCTTCAGCTGGCCCTTAAATAAAAATGCGTACTAGTTCAGTGAAAATGGAAGTCATACTCCAAAAAATATAAATGAACTAAAATTAGAAAAACATACAACACTAACAAAGGCAAGAGGCTCCTGACTTGGGACAGGCGCAAAAATGCGGCGGGGTAAAATATGTTTTGTGAGGTCTCAACCCTCCCCTATACCTCTAGCCAATGTAGAATAAAGAAACACACAGCAATACGCACAGTAAAACTCAATTGAAATGAAGTCCGAGTCCGATGTCAGAATAGGTAACAAAAGAAACTAAGGAAAATGACAATGATACATAAATAATCAAAGGACTACTAGCAGTTACTGACATGCCAGCTCCAGACCTCAATTAAACTGATTGAAAGATTATGTCTTCATCATATGAAAATCAAGCACAATCCCTCCCGTTAGGGGTTTAGTATCATACCATCATAAAATATATGAGAAGAACATAGCCCGTATCATGCCAACAACTGGTTTTAGAATAAATGTGTTTATTTCCGATGCAAAGACCCTATCAGTGAATCAATATTAGTACCAAAATATGCCATTCTTAATGACTTGACAACAGTATCGTAACTATATCCCTTCTGAATTAGTCTGTTTAAAGGTTTTGTTAGCTTTTGGGATGAAAGCCGACATTTTTTTGCTTTGTAAAGTATTTTACCATAAAAGATTGGATGTGAAATACCTGAACGTATAAGATGTCTGCATGTTGATTTATATTTACGAATGATGTCCTTGTACCGATGATAACATTTAGTAAATGTTTTGACTAGTTTGTGATATCGAAAACCCTGGTGTGTTATTTTTCATTAATACAGAGATTTCTTTCGTCAAATTCAAATACGTTGTTACATACACGAGCAAATCGAACAAGTTGAGATATATAAACACCATAAGATGGTGACAAGGGAACGTCACCATCTAAAAATGGATAATTAACAATAGGAAATGAAAAATCATCCGTTTTATCATAAATTTTGGTATTAAGCTTCCCGTTAAAGATATAGATATCAAGATCCAGGAAAGGGCAGTGTTCATTGTTAGTATTATCTTTATTTAAAGTCAGTTCGGCAGGATAAATCTCTTAAGTGTACATACTGAAGTCGTCATTATTGAGAGCCAATATACCATCCAAATATCTAAAAGTGTTATTAAATTTTAACTTTATTAAGCCTGTTTACGAAGCGAAACAACTCCCAGATTGTCAATACAGTTCGATTCTTATACTAGGCATCTTTTTTGCTTCAATTCAATATACTTTTAAATGCAAAGGTTATTTCAGATGTTGTACGGTGAAACCCCTTGTAATCCAAATATGGCTATCCTAGACCTGGAAGAATTTGGAAAATTGGGAAAATCTAGAAATATATTGACAATGGTAGATAACACATTTGCTAGTCCCTATCTTCAGCCTGTTATTAAATATGGAATTGATATATCTATGCACAGTTGGTAAGTATGCCACCAAATGATCTTAAATTCAAGATAACATACTTACAATTTGGAATACCAGTTGCGCGTTCCGTTAACATAAGACTCACACGTGACACTAGAATCAAACAGTTTGAAGGCCAAATCAAATACAAAGTTGAAGAGCGTTGAAAACAGAAATTCTAACAAACAAGTGCTGGCGTCTTGGCTGGTGATATCTTTAGGGACAAAACGTCTATCAGTAGGAGCATCGACCCAATGGTTGTTAAAACTCACAAAACTTATAAGGCTCATAGTTTGAAATGCCATACGCGCATAAGACTCATTAATGGGACTCGAATAAAAAAAGTTGGACGGCCAAATAAAATACGAAGTTACATAACACTCTTAAACCTGTTATAAAATTCTGGGACTAATGGAATAATTTTCGAGTACTATTGATTTTTTTATAACATTCATACATGCTCATAAGGAAATTATTAAAGAGTTCCAAGTGGTGAAGTAAAAATCCTCCATTCGTAAATTTTACGGACGCAATCACGAGTTGGTTGACCGTTATGGAATATCTGTTTCACAGATGACGATGGATATGTCCCAAATATCGTCCCCTTCCTCCCGAATGTGACCTACCGAATTAGACTTATGACCGGGTTTGTACTTACATGAGCAACACAACGGGTGCCACATGCGGGGAATGATATGCCTACCTTTTGGAGCACCTGAGATCACTCCCAGTTTTTTGTGGGGTTTGTGTTGCTCAGTCTTTGGTTTTCTATGTTGTTAGGTGTACTGTTGTTTGTCTGTTTGTCTTTTTCATTCTTAGCCATGGCGTTGTCTTCGTCTTCTTCTTCTTCTTCTTCTTCTTCTTCTTCTTCTTCTTCTTCTTCTTCTTCTTCTTCTTCTTTCACATAGATGGCTTATATATGAAATGAAAAGTAAGCATTTTGCACATTATTTGAAATATTACAAAAGGGTTTAATTAAAGTTGATGTATTTTAAGCACGAAATATTTAGGCGGACACAGTGATTTGATAGCAGGTAGTTTGACATTCAGTAGCGTGGAACTTTGGCAGACAACGATCAGATACCAAACAACATTAGGAGCCAGTCTTGTAAGTGTTAAATCACTTTATGTAATCACTCATGTAACTGAATGTATGCCGAGTTTTTCATAAGAGTTTTTGACATTCACTTAATTGAATGTAAGTCAAATTTGTGGATTTCACGAGAGCACTAATCTTTATAGTGAGGTCCCAACTTATGAGTTTATCAAAATAAGCTAGTCGCGATGTCTCATTAAATTTCTTTTATGCATTAAAAAACACATACACCAAGGAATAAAGATAAAGGTCCCGTTATTACCAATCAAAACAGAGGCCTGAAGTTGTATCAGGAACACTCGAAAGGAAAGATAAATAGGTTTATGAATTTCAAAACAACTAAGTCAGCGATATTCATGTTTTTGATTACCCCACGACGAGATCTAAAATGGCTGAACGAAATAGGCAGAGACATATACAAAAGAAAATGAATACTCAAGCATAAATAGGAACCTCATATCAAAGAGAAATATCTAACGAAACGAACTATATACATTGACAAGCTACACACGGGTAATAAACAATGAAATTTCTGGAAATAAGTGCGACGTAAACCTGGGTCGCAATTCAGAACGTTTTAAAATAGGAAAAATCCGTAGCTCTATGGTCCACAAATTGTCAATGACCTAAGAGCTACGGTTCTGCAGTTACATGAAGAGAGTATTATATTTAGTTTTTATTCAAATTGAAAATCTTTTTTGTTAACCATAATGCAATATATAATTTTAATCAAATGTAAGTTTTTCATTACGTGATTAATTTTTCAGTCTCCACATGATGCCAGTTTATTGCTGAGGGGTATTAAAACATTACCATTGAGAATGGAACGTCATAGTTCAAATGCAATGAAGGTAGCAAAGTACCTTGAGAAACATCCAAAGGTAAATGTCATGAGTTGTATCATATTGATATGAGTTTAAGTACCCAAATTAAAGAATTTGATGAGGATATACCAATGTATCCGGTAACTCTTTACCGAATATAAAATCAATATTAAGAATGTTCATATAACAGATTCATTTTCAAAAAACAATAGGCTGAGAGGTGTATCTGCATAACGCAAGTCAAGAAAAATATGCATAACAAATGGCAATTGTACCACATCTCCTTATTTTATATAAAACATATTTCATATTGGATTGTCATTTCTAGTTTAAATATATTACACATTATGCAAATTTACATTTGTGTACATATCTTTTAAGATAAATTATGTATTGTATCCTGGACTAGAGTCGCATCCTCATCATCAGATTGCTAAGAAACAGATGAAATCCTTTAGTGGCATGATGTCGGTAGAGGCCAAAGGGGGACTGGGAGGAGGAAGAATATTAGCTGAGGTACTATACTTATCATAATTATTACCTATTTGCAAGAATGGCAAATCAAAACCATTTAGATAAAGATTGCAAATATCAATTCCTTCAGAAAAGATACACAAAAGCAATATCATAAAAACAAAAATAGCTAAAAAATCGAAAACTAAAAAACATTTAAGGAAAGAAGAAAAACCGAAATCACATATTATGTTTTGAAGAAGAAACTTCAACGCGTTAGATATCATCGTATTAAAAGTTCTATACCATAGTATCCTTGAATTAGACAAAAGTAATGATAATGTACATCACTTGTGGTTTAGAATTAAAAGCTTTATATATGTCATCTTTATCACCAATTTCTTTTTTATTCCTCAAGAATCTAAGGATTGTACAGCTTGCAGTGTCTTTAGGTGGCGTAGAAAGTCTAATACAACACCCGGCTACTATGACTCATGGACCAATGTTAATGTCAGATGAAGACAGAAGAAGTGGAGGAATAACAGATGGAATGGTTAGAATAAGGTGAATATCGCATATCCAAAAGTTGTCATATTGTGGAAAAGTTTTTCTCCTTTTTTCTAAGTTTTTATTGTGGGGTTTTTCATAAATATGTGTTATACATTGTATATGAAGGTAACTAATATGTTGAAAGATTTAAGATCCTCCTGTCTTTATTTTCCAATGAGACAATTAATTCTCGAATATATAATAACATTAACGGTACCAATTTTACTGCGCCAAATGAGCATTTCGACAATAAATGTATCTTCAGTGATGCTCGAGGTAAAAGTATTTGAAAATCCAAAACTTATCCAAATAATGAAGAGCTTATAAATAAAAAAATAAAAAAGTATAGCCAAAGCCGGGCAAGGAATCAGAGCTTTGCATGAAGGAGATTTATTCCTAAGTTTGAAATAGTTTCCAAAATTTTGTAACAGCAAATGCAATACATGTATCTGTATTTTCATGCCAGTACCGAAGTACTGGCTACTGGGCTGGTGATACCATCGGTTACTAACAATCCACCAGCAGAGGCATCGAGCCAGTAGTAGTAATACCATTAACGGTACCAATTTTCTGCACCAGGTGCGCATCCAATGTAAAAAAGATTTGGATATTGTCTCATTGACGTATACCGCATCATTCAATAACCTGTATATCAATCCACTTGTCTACAATTTGAAAACACGATCAGGTATGCTTCATTGTTTTGTTATTGAAATTCATGCATACACTTACTATGTGAATTGCGAAAATTGTGCTCATCACTGTCCATCGCGTAGCGTTCTGAAACGTTGTTAAAAACATAGGAACCTACTTCAGGAAAGTAAAAAATCATGATGTCAATATCAATTACTTAGTAACTTTATTTCAGTAAATGCGTGCTTTATATAAAACGGCCCTGTCAAGCAATATTTTAATGAGGCCATGGATAAACGGTGATATTCAGTATACGTAAATCAACCCAACAGTGTTATTTGTTTGCTGTCTCACTGATTGTTACCTGAATTTCATTTTATTCATAATTACAAATGCAGTGTTGAGGAAGGAAAATCTCCATTGTATAGTTATTGTTGACATGCAGTTACTAGATTCTAACACATTGAGAATAGCAACTACTTTGTGTCACTATTTACTGAATTTTTACTACATGTCAGTCGTGAGTTAATATATTTATATTTAGACCTAATAGAGACATTAGAGACTTTTATCGTTGACTATATTTTGTTTTATAGTTTATTTTGCAAAAATCAATTGCAGTCTCATTAATGTTTACCTAACAATTTTTTTTTTGTTACCATAAGACGTATTTTAGAAGCATACATGTATTAAATTCAAAATTGAAGGACTATATACTTACAATATTAAAATCATAAGCTGCGATTCCGGGAATAAAAAAACAATTTTACAAAATGTTTTAAATATATGTACATCTTCCTAATGAGGGATAATAGACTACGAAGTCGTAATAATGGCTGTTTTTTTGGTCAAATTTGGTGGATTTCTGCGTAGCGTTTCTCTGCAGTAATTACTTCCATATGTAATAATCATGCACATGAAATCATCATTGAAAACGTACTCACCCTTACCGCTGAATCAATTCTTGTGATGTAATTGTTACAAGCATATGGGTTGTCTGTTATCTGTGACATATCGCTAGTGGAAAATAACAGGGGATAATAATCCTGTTCAGATTCCTGACCATGAATCTGAGTTGTTGACGAAGTGTAGTGAAGGAAGGTAATATTTGCAGGCAGGGGGACACATTAAGCGGTTAATAAGTTACATATACATATATTTTTGGTGCAAAAAATGGACAAAAAAAAATTGAAAAACTCTTTTCATCTCCACCCATTTATTTGGCATAGCCTTTCGGAATTTCTCTTCAAGTTCGTGCTTTATTTGGTCTTATTAACTTTTTTAATTCGAGCGCCACTGATTAGTTATTTGTAGACAAAACGCACATCTGACTTACAAAGTTTTAATCCATCCTGGTATCTATGATTTTTGTTTTACAACCACTGTGTTGATGCCACTGCTGGAGGAGGTTTCACCCGAGGGTATCACCAGCCCGGTAGTCATCACTTCTGTGTTAGCATGAATTATCATTGATAAGGTCATAACTATAAGCTAACTATAATCAAAACAAAGAGTTTTCAATAATACGAAGGATTTTCTACCCCAAAAATCGATACCTTAGTTGTATTTGGCAAAACCTTTCGGAATTTTGAGTTCTCAATGCTATTCAACTTCATCTATGATGGGTTTATTGACGGTGGTCAGGGCCAGATGTTTTACCCCTAGAATATATTTAGTATGTTTTTCTTATACTCAATGAATTACAAAGGGGAGAAGATACCAAGTTCAAAAGCAACAAATCCAATAAAAGAAATGAAAACTGTGTTCTTATGTCTTTAATATAATATATTTCAGTTCTGGATATCGAATTTTTATGTTATACATATTTTCCTTTGAGATCTTAAAAGTAAAATAACAAAAATACCGATCTCCAAGGGAAATTCAAAACGGAAAGTCCTTTATAAAATTGCAAAATCAAAAGCTCAAACAGATCAAACGATTGGAAAACAACTGTCATATTCCTGACTTGGTACAGGTATTTCCTTATGTAGAACATGGTGGATTAAACCTTGTTTTTTTAGCTAGCTGAACCTCTCACTTGTATGACAGTCTCATAGAAACGATATTTTGCAAATATTGCTTAACACAGTCTAAACCGTGTTACTAGAAATTACATATAGGAGCGAAATATGTAAAGTTAAAATGTATTGCAAAATATCAGCTTAAACTAAGAAATAAAGCCTTTTAATGAGATATTTGAATGAACATACAAAAAAAAAATGAAATGCATGATAGTCAACTTCAAACAATAATAGTAAAACTCTTTTGCATATAAGATTTTGTATTGTTGATTAGTAACAAATATCGCTTCTATGGGTCATTCTTTTTTATTCAAATATAAATTACCTTATATTTACATTAGTATTATTTGGGTCTCAAATCGAAAGAAAAGAAATCTTGATTTTGCTTAAATTTTAATGACCATTTATGAGCTATTAAAGTCTTATATGAAAAGAAAAATGGGTGTTATGGGGCAAACTATTTTACCCTGTATCGTAGGAAAAAAACCAAGGAGTCTGAAAATCTTACACAAATCCCTAAATCTGACCTAAGTACATCCTTAAATACCAAATATATAAAAAAAATAAGAGGATATGGTATGATTACCAATGAGACAACTCTCCACCAGTAGTCACCAAATGACGTAGAACGTGTCAAGTTTCATTCGTGTATGAGAATTTTTTTTTATTGATATGGCTAGGTAATCTCCGTAGTTAAAACTATTTAGCGTTTGTAGCAAAAACTCGTTGTTTCTTAGAAATGTACACATTTAATTATATCTGTGAATGATTGTTATGTTGGGTTAAGAAATATATTAATCGGGGTATTCATATTTGGAAGCTAACGCCTCTTTTCTATCTTTGTTTAATTTTAGTATTGGTATCGAGGACCCAGACGACTTAATTGCTGATTTCAAACAAGCCCTGGATAAAATCCCTGAAAGTCTTTGTGCTGAGACTTAAAGGAGCGAATAAGTGAAATCACACATCTGATGATTTGTAACAAAGTGTCTTAGATATTTTATATGAATATGTTTTTTTAATATATATGAACATTTTTGTAACATTGCTTATACTTTAATAAATATTCATTGATAACAATGGAATTTTTACTGCAAACTGACCATTACTTGTTTACGACCGTCATGGAATACACGGGTTGGTTGACCCTTAGGGAATATCTGTTTCACAGATGACGACGGATATGTTCCAATTTTCATAACCACAATTTCCTCTTCTTTTATCCAAATGTGACCTACCTACCGACTTATCGCCGGGTTTGAACTTACATAAGCAACACGACGGGTGCCATATGTGAAGAAGAATCTGCTCAGCCTTCTGTAGCACCTGAGATCACTCCCGTTTTTGGTGGGGTTCGTGTTGATCATATTCTAGTTTTTGATGTTGTGTTTTATGTACTATTGTTTGTCTTTTCGTCTTTTTTCGTATGTTGCCAGTTGTCAGTTTATTCTCGACGTATAAGTTTGAATATCCCTTTGGTATCTTTTGCCTTTCTTGCTGAATTACTATCAGAAGGAATTATTCTTTAATCTACTTTTGTAAGATGTCACGTTATCATATACGTGATAGTAATGAAGCTTCATTATAACATCATAACAACTTATAGATTTACCGGAGGTATGGTCAATACATATTACTAGGTGTCAGATCTTCAGTGCAGTAAATACACGATTGACAGAATTTTTTTTATCATTGTTTCGATTATAGTATCTTAATTGTAATATACATCTGAATACTTATATAGTGTAAAAAGCAAACTTTCGAATTTTTAGATGGGAACTGGAGTGATTACAGCACAGAAATTTATTCTAGACATAAATCCTGGAAGTGTGGAAAAGACTAACTTTAGTGCATCATATATTTTTTTTTCGCTTCGAGTCATCGAAAAAAGTAATCGATCTTGATATAGTAATCAAAGTTCAACACCACCCTCTGAGAAAAAAGAGCAATTTTCCATTCGACACAGTATTGGTCAGGACAAAGTCTCTATGATGAGTTTATTTACAACCTCATGATGAATACCACTGCTGGTGGGGTTTCTTCCCCGAGGGTATCACTAGCCAAGCAGTCAACACTTCTGTGTTCACATGGATTGTCATCGATATGGTCATAATTATAAATTAACTGTTAACAAAACTTAATGAGATTTGTCGAAATACTAAGGATTGTCTACCCCAGATATCCTTAGCTTTATTTGGCATAACCTTTCGGAATTTCTCTTCAACTTCGTGCTTTATTTGGTCTCGTTAACTTTTTTAATTCGAGCGTCACTGATTAGTCTTTTGTAGACAAAACGCGCGTCTGACGTACAAAGTTTTAATCCATCCTGGTATCTATGATTAGTTTTTAAACAACCACTGTGTTGATGCCACTGCTGGAAGAGGTTTCCCCGAGTTTATCACCAGCCCAGTAGTCAGCACTTCTGTGTTAGCATGAATTATCATTGATATGGTCATAAGTATAAGCTAATTGTAATCAAAACATTGAGATTTTTCAAAAATACTAAAGATTTTCTACCCCAAAAATCGATAACCTTAGTTGTATTCGGCAAAACCTTTCGGAATTTTGAGTTCTCAATGCTATTCAACTTCATCTATGATGAGTTTATTGACGGTGGTCAGGGCCAGATGTTTTACTCTCAGACAATTTTTCTATGAGTTTCTTATACTCATTGAATTACAGAGGGGAGAAGATACCAAGTTCAAAAGCAATAAATCCAATGAAAGATGGACAACATGACCACATCATAAAACAGAACATCTTGACAACCAAACAATAATCCACACTGAACATCACGAAGCCAACCAAAAACCACGAAGAACTTAACAATCATTGAATCATATCGGTTAGGGCATTGGTCAAGTCAAAGTTTATGGTGTTCAAAGTTAGTTGTTTACTCTTTAAATTCAATGAAATTTTCCATTGTTTTCCTATTCATGAAAACAAAAGTTTTAATCTTAACATATTTCAAATGTTGCTCAAGAAATCAAAAAAAGTGTTTTTCATTTTCCTAGTTGTCAGAGTATTTGGCCAGGACAAATTTGTCGGTGGTCAGGTCATATTTTTTGTTATGTGAGAGCATCCTAAATGGATAAAAACATATTTACTTGGTGTTTGTTTTTCCTTATCTTGATATGACAATTCATGTCGGTCACCACTTAGTTTGATTAATAAACAATTAATACAACAAATGCTGTATTATAAGTGGGATACTCTCACCCTTTCTGAGGATCTGATATCACCTCCGATTTTGTTTAATGTTCACATGATCCAAGGTTAAGGTTTATGTTGAACTTGTTTGACGAAATTGTATGCTACCTTTTATTGTGTCTCGGGGGATGAAGTGTAGGTTTTTTATTGTCTAAATGATTTCAAAACAAAGATAGACTTTCATTTCCTTTGTAACAAAACACTTCAAACTAAAAGCGAGGGAAACACATATAAGAACTTTAAGAAGAAAACAACAGAACAACTAAAACACTGAACTTCAACAAAAGCAAACGCCAACATACATAGAAACGGACTGTAGATAACAACTGCCATATTCCTGACTTGGTACAGGACATTTTATGAAAAAATGGTGGGTTGTATATTATGATTTGAGTGTGCGCGATACATATTTGTCTTATAACGTTCATCACGTACGATGGAGAACAATAGCTCGATAAAGGAAATAATAGAATGATTCGAGTGTTATAAAAGGTTGTTTTGTGCCTTTGTATTATTATAGATAGACAATCAATTTTATAAACGATAATTTACCACCAACATGTTATAAACGAATTGCTGGAAAATCAGACCCGAATGCCAGCAAAGGTAAAAAGTCAATGTGGATGAGAAAAATATTGACAAATCTTTCAATCTAAAAAAAAACTTTAACACTGAACGAAATTAAAGAGGGATAGAGTTCAGAAGATATGTTCATGGTGTTCCAAGAAAGAAGCCCATTCAGTGGTTGTCTGTGAATATATCTAAATGTTTTAGAAAGTTGGTGTTGATAGAAAAAAATCTTAAAGTCTATATTAAGGTATTTGCTAGTTTTCTTGACATTAGATGATGAAGATCTTGACAAACGTTTTCATTTCCTTTAATAATTTTAAATAAACATAAGTTGAATATCAACTTGTCTTCGTGCACTCATGACATTGGTCGTTTTAACAAAAAAAGAGTCGTAAAATAGAGTAAAAAATCAGATGAAATGTTCCCTTCGATATTGTGGCAATCTTTAAAAAAAACATTCTATAAAAGTGATGTATTACATAAACAATAAAAAAAATATTTACAAAAACTACACAAATAATTGTTAATTATCTCGTTTCCCATTCAGTCTAACATGGTAGCCTCGGGATCTTAGAAGTTGAAGCAAGTATTGACGAGATATTCTGTGTTGAGGTCGACTCCATTTCTTTTGTGGTAGAATCTCGTCACTTGACCCTGGCATTTCAGGTTTGTTGTCAATTTCTAATTGAATCAGGGACAAGAGAAGATCTAATTCAGGATTATTAAGCCTAAGCTGTACACTGTCAGCTTGTTCTTTACTTGTTACAACAAGACTCATGTTCAACCTGTAAAAGGATTTGAATTGATAAAAGCATGCAACTACGTGTCATCTGGAAGAAACTCCTAACTGAAATATCATTAAGAAATCGGATGTAGGATTCTAATTTGATTACCTATACTCTGATCATTTTCTTACCACTACTGTATAGTTAAACTTACATAATGTTCTTTAAAACATCTCATTTGAATTTACTTTTGAAATCTTTTAATTGGAATTAACTAGTGCTTATGTAACTTCAACAAAGCACGTGCACGTGATTAGATATGATTAGGGAAAACACGAGACGCCGATTACGTCCATTATATCCATGACGCTCCCAGACATTAATGCATCAGAGTGACTTATATCTCTCATAAATATAAAAATCAACCCTGCGATGCTTTAAGAAAGTCCAAAAAAACTATGGAAATGCTTTTGAAGAACAAAACTAAAAAAAAATGTGATATTGATACCATGACTAGGAATACTAGTTAAGGGTGGCTCTTCCTAAACAACCAACTGGAAAAAAATTGTAGCATGATCATGTTAGATCAAACGTTTCACATATGGTCGCGGATATGTTCTAAATGTCTTCACTACAATCCCGTCCCCTTTTCCCCGAATGTGACCTACCGAATTAGACTTATTACCGGGTTTGTACTTACATGAGCAACACGATGGGTACCACATGTTGAGCAGGATCTGCTTACTCTTCCGTTGAACCTGAGATCACCCTAAGATTTTGGTGGGGTTCGTGTTGCTCAGTCTTTAGTTTTCTATATTGTGTTTTGTGTACTATTGTATGTCTGTCGGCCTTTTAACCATGGCATTGTCAGTTTCTTTTCGACTAATGAGTTTGAATGACCCTTTGGTATCTTTTACCTCTCTTTTGAAACCATTTGAGCCTTACATAAATGATTAACCTTTCTTGGACCTCTTTCGGGCAAAAATCATCCTCTTCTAGACGAGGTGATGGGAGGAATAAGTTTAAAACTTACTGTATTTGAAAATAAGATTATATTTGGAAACCTACTGTTAACTATTGATGTCTATATATTAACACGTGGACAAAATATTCATTTATATAGGAAAGAAATAAAACTCATCCGTCAATTGGAAAAAAGGAAAAACAGGAAAATTTACATAATATGATTGTTTCATTAAAAAATGCAATACTCAGTTAAAACAATTTTCAAAAGATATTTCGGTTCTTTGTTCTTCATCTATCAGTTGCTTTTCTTCCATGAAGATTTTACAACATTGAAAGTTTCTATTTGTAAAGTATTGAATGAATAATAATTTTCCTTTCTTATACAAAATAACGGGATCTTTCATTTGGATTCAAATATGAGTGTAACATTCTAGGCATCTGTCACAATCTACATTATAATCATCTATATGGTAATGAATACTTACAGGACAACAACAAGAGTTGAATATAATATTCTCTTTGTCTCCATTATTCTAAAAGGAAAATTACATTTTAGTAAAGAAATAAGATATTTATATTTTTTATATTTAGCAAAGTTAATTTTGTTCATTAGTACCTGTATTACATTATAGATGTTTTGGTACCTAACATGAACTGTTCAGGAGGTTATTCTGTTTACGTATCAAGTGCACTTTTGTACTGACATAAAATATCACGAAATATCATGAAATATCATCAATGCGGTCATTTACTGGATAGTTCGAAAAACCTTAAGCTTTGTTTACTTATGCATAGATAGCCGCAGTCAGAGTGATCACAATGTTTGGGATTAGGTTTTTCAATGCTCTTAATCATTGTAAGTGTGTAGTGACCAAAGCTTTAGCTTTTTGACATTTCTGTGTGTATAGGTTCCTTGTTTTCCGTTATCTTGTTTTGTTTCTTTTGATTTTAATCGTTTGTGAATTGGTTTCAAAGTTTGTTTGTTTCACCTTGATTTCAAGTGAATTTTCCTGATTTCAGATATATTTGGTATCATATACCTGTTGAGATTAAGAATTTAAAACACTGTCTGTATACAACTTTGATCGCTTCGGTACAGAAATTTATAACATACCTTTTCTCAATTCTCCGTGGATAAATTTAGAAATAATTAAGAAACTCCGAATCAATTTACCTCAGGCAAAGTTGACCTTAGGAGGATTATGTTTTTTTTGTTATGTCCCCGTTTGTCATTTAGTTCTTCGCGTATTGAAATTCGGGTAAGTTCTAGGTTTTCAACCTCAACTTCGACTGAGTCTTCCTAATGAAGGTAAATCCATAAAAGCGCTTCGGACATATCAAATTAATAAAGCGTATTTCCTTCTTTTTTATTTGTCTTATATACATGATTTGTGTTAGTCTATTGTTGAAGTATAAATCATTATTTTGATTTTCTCTCTTGAATAAATTCACATTTTATCATAATTGGGTCTGTTTATCTTACTATATGGTGCAGAGTTTTTTTCATTTTAATGTCCGTACGGTGATCTGTAACTTTTCACATATTTTTCGTTATGTTATAAATGGATAATGTTCTCCACATCTCCTTATTTATATATTATGCAAAAAAATTGTTTGTATGGTATACTAAAATACAACATACGTACTTTGCGGAAAAAATAAAATTAATTTTAAACGATCTTTAGAAATAGAAAAAAAAAAACGAATTTTTCTCCTTACCAGTAACGAGTACAAAAGCATTATTTCCCCCTCAATTATAACCGTTTGTTCCGTTTAGACTGAGGATTTCACAAGACAATATTTGGATATGCAGTTATCTAGATTTGATTAAATATTAAAGCTCTCTTTATCTCACAAAAGGTCAATAAAGCAAATTCTACATGACAATACATAAATAAAAAATAAATGGAAAGAATAATAAATGAACATACCGTATTGCAGGTTCCTACTTATGAAAATGATAGATGTAATAGCATACCGGGTTTTATAGGCTTACATGTCAATCATTAGCAAATTTTTATTTTGTTCCCCAGAAATATTTTTGTGAGCTGATTGTATGTGCGATTTTTTCTCACTTCATAACTCTATTATGAACACAAATTGTACTCTAACAATAGGCTTATGTTGCAGTATTAATAAGCCAATAATTATCAAGCCAATTAAAACATTTGTGTTGTAAAGACAACTGTCCATTGATGAAGACTGCAAATTGCTTTCTAAATGTCTATTGATTATTTTTGTCAACTTGTTGCTCTCTCATTTTCCTATACCCCACATCGACTTGATCAAAATAGTATTCTTCTTATCAGTGGTAAAATAAATGGGACTATACTTCTACTTGTATATCAAAAATACAATAATGATCTGCAGAGATACTCCCGTGAAACTATATTCTATGGAAACCGGCCACGCCTTCCAAAACAAAATACAAATAATTTGTTTGATTTTCTTTGCTTGTATTGTATTAACTCCTGAGGTTTGTCAACATTTGATGCCTTACATCCGAAGTCTCTATGGTCTTTTTTTAGTAAGCAGGGTTTACACATTACATATTAGGTTTACTTTATGCGTTCTGCAAGAAACTATGACAAATGTGATGATATCATCCTTCCAATTGTCAATTATATACATTCTTCAGTTAATACGATACGATGGTCAAATATGACATTTGAAGATACGTTATAGTTTGATGCTAAAATAGATTGATTATCAAAACCTGGTAAAAACTCATCAAATATACCAGGCTTGTATTTCTTAACGCCGGACATGCGTTCTGTCTGCGTAAGATTTATCAGTGACGCTCAAATCAAAATAGAAGGCCAAAATAAATAGGAAGATGAACAGGAATGAAAAACATATTTAAAAAAAAAAGGTGTGCCAAATCTTGCAAAGGCCATCTATGACGAAGTATGAAGACACTTGGTGTTTGGAATAATGCAACATTTTATGCACAGCATATTCACATCAATGATATTGCTTGTCCACCAGCAGTGACAACTTACCAGTGGGTGCCTGGGGATAGACATACCTTAAGTGTTTCGAATAATTCAACATTTTAGACAGGTTATTTAAGAAAATTCCTGTATTAATGATATGTCATGTCAATACATTAGAGAAGACCACTGATCATGGGCTAGTGATAGCATCGGGGGTGAAACGTCCACCAGCAGTGATGTCGACCCAGTGTTGTAAACATCATAAAAGATACCAGGCTTATAAATTGATACGCCAGTACGAGTTCGGTCAACATAAAACTGACACTTCAATCAAAATAGTTAAAAGGAAAATTCAATGCGACTTTGAAGAGCATTGAAAACAATTCAACATTTTATAAACAGTAAATTTAGTAAATGATTATTTATGTTATCACACACTCTTTTTACTAAATTTTGCCACATCTTAATAAGCCTACTTATGACTATGGGAAAAAACCCTTGGCGTTTCGAATACTTCAACATCAACATTTTATATAGTATTTAAGAAAATGACCGTATCAATAGTATTTAAGGTTAGCTTCCCTCGGGGCTGAAATGTCCACCACCATCGACCCGATGGTGATTAAAACTCATCAAAGATACCAATCTGAAAATTTTGAACGCTATACTCCCTTTTTATCTACACAAAACTCATCAGTGGTGCTCGCAAGAATACAGTTTCGAGAACAAATAAAATATGAAGTTGAAGACCATTGCAGACCAAAAAATAGAAAACATCCAAATCTGGCTGCGGCCATTTATACCCCGAGGTAGAAAAACCTTATTGTTTCGAATAATTCAACGTTAATACAGACTTGATATAAGATTTATCAGAAGATAGAAATTTTTTCTTAAAAGTTGAGTACAGAAATTAGATAAAAGACGTAAACACGAAAATATGTCCTTCAATTTTTCTTTTTGGGCCAAAATTCCTTTTCGATACAGGTTATAGGCGTACTGGTTTTTTTAATGATGAACTAATTATAAAGTTTATACTGCGTATTTCCGAAATCATTTTACCGAGGTTAAGCCATATTAAAAATCGTAAGTATGATAATATTAATAATTATAATGTGTTATGACCAATGACGTCTATGCCACCCTTATGATCAAATCGTTTAGGTTTCGCACTGTTTCCCTCATTATATTCTTGATTACAACTGATTCCGTAGCCATAACGCGTGTGACGTGTTCATTGCGAAGTAAAATGTTCTGATATCACTTCAAAGAAATTGTAGTTTCCATGTTTTTTTTAAACTTTTTTGTCCAGCGATGTCAATAACGCTGTACAGTGAAATGTATTTTGAAGTACTGCGGTTGTTATTCGAGTGATGTCAACATGTACAAATACGTTCTTTCTACCATATTGCAGAAGCTGCTAGCATTGTGGACGAAAATCTCTGAATTAATTCACACCACGTGTTCTTTAAGTAGCCAATAGATTTATTCAATTATACTGTGAGGTATACTAACACTGGAAATTGTTGATTTTTAGTGATTTTTATTATACAAACATTTATTCCAATAGAAAACTCTCTAAAAACATTTTTTCTCACATTATTACTTATTTATCAGAATTATAGCCTTAAAGAAATCACTGCATAAACTCTAAGTTTTCTTTTACTGTACATTTTATACCCCCTCCCCTGTTTCATTTTTTTAAAGAATTTGAAAACAAGACTTTAATTATTCCCAGCTTACCCTATTTGCATGTTTTCTGACATGAAATGCCTAGAACCTGTTTAAAACTGTTCTGATAACATATTGAAAGCATTTCAGAATACTGTAAATGTAATGTTTAGCAGTCAATCATTCCAACATTCAAGATTATATAAAGTGTCCAATCCTGCCTGTGTCTCCAGTCCACATTTTACTGTATGCCTATTTGTCAATGAAAATTCACAATTTCTGCCTCAAATGGTCAGTTTAGAATTCTCAGTGGCGGATCCAGAGGGGGGCGTAGAGGGCGTACGCCCCCCCCCCCCTTTTGCTTGCACTTTTTTTTCTGTTTTTTTTTTTTGTAAAATGATTAATCAGAAGACTAGACTTCGCGAACTTTGCCATTTCCCGTGTATTTAATTTTTATACGACAATTCTTTACTTATAAATATATTTTTTGAACGTATTTACTGTAATATATTATTGATTATGTCAAAGTCAAGTGATTCGCTATGGTGGAGTTGACTAGTACGTCGAACAAAACGTCACTCAGTCATTTTACAGTCAATTACAGTAACACATTGCTTAGGCTGAGGATGACAAGCATGACGCCTTCAAAGCGACAAAGTATTGAGAAAGAACGTATTGACTTCTCTTCCACAATTCCACCCAACAGAAAGTAATACTCTATTACACTCTCAGGAAAAAAAAAGTTCCACAGCAATATTATTATATTGGGGAATAGTGATCCCCAATCAGTAAGCTCCAGATATAGATATAAATCTAAGGTACGGACCATTTGATTTGAGGGGGCAGTCTGAGATATTTTAGAGAAAAAATTCTGACCCTGATTTTTGCCTTAAACAAAAATTCTGGCCGTATCTGGATTGAAAACAATAAT